CGTACACGGCATGGCCTCTCCCTATCGTATGTGGAATGGCCTCTCCCTATCGTATGTGGCATGGCCTCTCCCTGTCGTACGCGGCATGGCCTCTCCCTGTCGTACGCCGCGTGGCCTCTCCCTGTCGTACGCGGCATGGCCTCTCCCTGTCGTACACGGCGTGGCCTCTCCCTGTCGTACGCGGCGTGGCCTCTCCCTGTCGTACACGGCGTGGCCTCTCCCTGTCGTACGCGGCGTGGCCTCTCCCTGTCGTACGCGGCATGTCCTCTCCCTGTCGTACGCGGCGTGGCCTCTCCCTGTCGTACGCGGCATGGCCTCTCCCTGTCGTACGCGGCATGTCCTCTCCCTGTCGTACGCGGCATGACCTCTCCCTGTCGTACGCGGCATGTCCTCTCCCTGTCGTACGCGGCATGGCCTCTCCCTGTCGTACGCGGCATGGCCTCTCCCTGTCGTACGCGGCATGTCCTCTCCCTGTCGTACGCGGCATGGCCTCTCCCTGTCGTACGCGGCATGTCCTCTCCCTGTCGTACGCGGCATGGCCTCTCCCTGTCGTACGCGGCATGGCCTCTCCCTGTCGTACGCGGCATGGCCTCTCCCTGTCGTACGCGGCATGGCCTCTCCCTGTCGTACGCGGCATGGACTCTCCCTGTCGTACGCGGCATGGCCTCTCCCTGTCGTACGCGGCATGGACTCTCCCTGTCGTATGCGGCATGGACTCTCCCTGTCGTATGCGGCATGGCCTCTCCCTATTGTATGTGGCATGGCCTCTTTCCCCCCTTTCACCCACAGCATGGCCTCACCCCCCCCCCCCCCCCTTTCACCCACGGCATGGCCTCCCACTTGATGCATGGCTCTCCCCCATTGAGTGGCGAGTGAGCCACTGCTGGCAACACCCCTTTCCCTCCCCCCCATGAGTGCGCCTCTACCACACCCACCACATTGTGTTGTTGGCTGCCTGTGGTTTACCACACTCACCACCACACTTACCACCACTTCCACTCTCTCTCAGGCCTTCAGACTCCCAACTCCACAACTACACTCGCCCCCTCTCGTGCACTCTCGCCCTCTCTCGTGCACACTCGCCCCCCCTCTCTTGTGCACTCGCCCCCCCCCCTCTTGTGCACTCGCCCCCCCCCTCTTGTGCACTCGCCCCCCCCCCTCTCGTGCACTCGCCCCCCCCCTCTCGTGCACTCCCCCCCCCTCGTGCACTCCCCCCCCTCGTGCACTCCCCCCCCTCGTGCACTCCCCCCCCCTCGTGCACTCCCCCCCCCTCTCGTGCACTCGCCCCCCCTCTCGTGCACTCCCCCCCCTCTCGTGCACTCCCCCCCCCCTCTCGTGCACTTGTCCCCCCTCTCGTGCACTTGACCCCCCCCTCGTGCACTCGCCCCCCCTCGTGCACTCGCCCCCTCTCGTGCACTCGCCCTCCCTCTCGTGCACTCGCCCTCCCTCTCGTGCACTCGCCCTCCCTCTCGTGCACTCGCCCTCCCTCTCGTGCACTCGCCCCCCCTCGTGCACTCGCCCCCCCTCGTGCACTCGCCCCCCCTCTCGTGCACTCGCCCCCCCTCTCGTGCACTCGCCCCCCCTCTCGTGCACTCGCCCCCCCTCTCTCGTGCACTCGCCCCCTCACTCGTGCACTCGCCCCCCTCTTGTGCACTTGCCCCCCTCTCTTGTGCACTCGCCCCCCTCTCTTGTGCACTCGCCCCCCCTCTCTTGTGCACTCGCTCCCCTCTCTTGTGCACTCGCCCCCCCTCTCTTGTGCACTCGCCCCCCCTCTCTTGTGCACTCGCCCCCCCTCTCTTGTGCACTCGCCCCCCCTCTCTTGTGCACTCGCCCCCCCTCTCTTGTGCACTCGCCCCCCCTCTCTTGTGCACTCGCCCCCCCTCTCTTGTGCACTCGCCCCCCTCTCTTGTGCACTCGCCCCCCTCTCTTGTGCACTCGCCCCCCTCTCTTGTGCACTCGCCCCCCCCTCTCTTGTGCACTCGCCCCCCTCTCTTGTGCACTCGCCCCCCCCTCTCTTGTGCACTCGCCCCTCCCTCTCTTGTGCACTCGCCCCCCTCTCTCGTGCACTCGCCCCCCTCTCTCGTGCACTCGCCACCCTCGTGCACTCGCCACCCCCCCTCTCTCGTGCACTCGCCCCCCCTCTCTCGTGCACTCGCCCCCCCCCTCTCTCGTGCACTCGCCCCCCTCTCTCGTGCACTCGCCCCCCCCTCTCTCGTGCACTCGCCCCCCCCCCTCTCTCGTGCACTCGCCCCCCCTCTCTCGTGCACTCGCCCCCCCTCTTGTGCACTCGCCCCCCCCCCCCCCTCTCGTGCACTCGCCCCCCCTCTCGTGCACTCGCCCCCCTCTTGTGCACTCGCCCCCCCTCTCTCGTGCACTCGCCCCCCCCTCTCTCGTGCACTCGCCCCCCCTCTCTCGTGCACTCGCCCCCCTCTCTCGTGCACTCTCCCTCACTTGTCCACTCACTCTCGCTTGTTTACTTGCCCATTCACCCCCCCACCACTTGCCCATTCACCCCCCCCCACTTGCCCATTCACCCCCCCCACTTGCCCATTCACCCCCCCCCCACTTGCCCATTCACCCCCCCACTTGCCCATTCACCCCCCCCACTTGCCCATTCACCCCCCCCTTGCCCATTCACCCCCCCCCCACTTGCTCATTCACCCCCCCCACTTGCCCATTCACCCCCCCCCCACTTGCCCATTCACCCCCCCCCCCCACTTGCCCATTCACCCCCCCCACTTGCCCATTCACCCCCCCCCACTTGCCCACTCACTCCCCCCACTTGCCCACTCACCCCCCCCACTTGCCCACTCACCCCCCCCCCACTTGCCCATTCAACCCCCCACTTGCCCATTCAACCCCCCCACTTGCCCATTCACCCCCCCCACTTGCCCATTCACCCCCCCACTTGCCCATTCACCCCCCCCCCACTTGCCCATTCACCCCCCCCCCCCACTTGCCCATTCACCCCCCCCACTTGCCCATTCACCCCCCCCCCACTTGCCCATTCACCCCCCCACTTGCCCATTCACCCCCCCCCCACTTGCCCATTCACCCCCCCCCCCACTTGCCCATTCACCCCCCCCACTTGCCCATTCACCCCCTCCCCACTTGCCCATTCACCCCCCCCCACTTGCCCATTCACCTTCCCCCCACTTGCCCATTCACCCCCCCCCCCACTTGCCCATTCACTCCCCCCCCACTTACCCATTCACCCCCCCCCCACTTGCCCATTCACCCCCCCACTTGCCCATTCACCCCCCCCCCCCACTTGCCCATTCACCCCCCCCCCACTTGCCCATTCACCCCCCCACTTGCCCATTCACCCCCCCCCCCACTTGCCCACCACTTCCACTCTCTCTCAGGCCTACAGACTCCCAACTCCACTCACCCTTACTTGCCCACTCACTCTCACTTGCCCACTCACCCTTACTTGCCCACTCACTCTCACTTGCCCACTCACCCTCACTTGCCCACTCACTCTCACTTGCCCACTCACTCTCACTTGCCCACTCACTCTCACTTGCCCACTCACCCTTACTTGCCCACTCACCCTCACTTGCCCACTCCCCCACTTACCAGTGCAGATACTCCCCCACTTACCAGTGCAGATACTCCCCCACTTACCAGTGCAGATACTCCCCCACTTACCAGTGCAGATACTCCCCCACTTACCAGTGCAGATACTCCCCCACTTACCACTGCAGATACTCCCCCACTTACCAGTGCAGATACTCCCCCACTTACCACTGCAGATACTCCCCCACTTACCAGTGCAGATACTCCCCCACTTACCACTGCAGATACTCCCCCACTTACCACTGCAGATACTCCCCCACTTACCAGTGCAGATACTTCCCCACTTACCAGTGCAGATACTCCCCCACTTACCACTGCAGATACTCCCCCACTTACCACTGCAGATACTCCCCCACTTACCAATGCAGATACTCCCCCCACTTACCAGTGCAGATACTCCCCCACTTACCACTGCAGATACTCCCCCACTTACCACTGCAGATACTCCCCTACTTACCACTGCAGATACTCCCCTACTTACCACTGCAGATACTCCCCCACTTACCACTGCAGATACTCCCCTACTTACCACTGCAGATACTCCCCCACTTACCACTGCAGATACTCCCCCACTTACCACTGCAGATACTCCCCTACTTACCACTGCAGATACTCCCCTACTTACCACTGCAGATACTCCCCCACTTACCCCTGCAGATACTCCCCCACTTACCACTGCAGATACTCCCCCACTTACCACTGCAGATACTCCCCCACTTACCACTGCAGATACTCCCCTACTTACCACTGCAGATACTCCCCCACTTACCACTGCAGATACTCCCCCACTTACCACTGCAGATACTCCCCCACTTACCAGTTCAGATACTCCCCCACCCTCGCACACTGCCGCTGTGGAACCATTACTTGAGTATGCAACCCCAGCATGAAACTCTCACCTTGTGAAGCATAAACAGGAACTTGAGAAAGTTCAGAGGTTTACAATTAGATTGGTGCCAGAACTGCAGTCCTCATCAACAAGGCCAAAAGTTCGTTTATCCAAGCACCAAATCCCCCTGTTTATGAACGGATAACACTACTCGGAGCTGATGACGTTCGAACAGTGCTTCGCTGGCCACCTCTGTTCGAATCGCAACTCCGTAAATGCTTCACCCACGTAATACAAATTATTGTCATCACATAAACTATATGATACTACCTCACATGGACAACTGCTACAACCACTACATGGGGGTCTTGCACCAGCCTGACATACACATTGCTGGCGTGTTGTTGGGAGTTGTGAGAGTTGGTTTGTGGTGGTAAGAGAGGGGGGTGTAGTGGTGGTGAAGGGGGGGGGTGTTCGTCAACCACCACACTAGCCACCCCACCCTCTTGCCACCACCATCTCCCTTAACCCACCCCACCACCAATGCCCCCCTCCCCTCCCCCTTGCGTCCTTCCCTGCCACCACCACCACCACCACCATCCTGTGTCAGCTGCCTCTCACCACAGCCGCCACCACCACAACCACCACAGTCTACCTGCCTCCCCCTCTACTCTGTCTCTGCTACTCCCTGCTCAGCTCTGCTCCTGGACGCATCGTGGACGCCCTGCTCTTCCTCGATGTGAGTACATTGTGTGTTTTGGGGTGGGAGGGGTCGCTTGAACCCCCAGCCCCACACACGTGCACGAATTCCTTGTCCCACACGAGGACGACCCCCCAACCCACCCTGTACCCTCACACGACAGGGGAATCTGTATCTGTCCACTAGTAGATTGGCAGTTGAGAGGCGAGACCAAAGAGCCTAAGCTCAACCCCCGCAAGCACAAACTAGGTGAGCAGTCCCCGCGGCGCAGTGGTAAAGCACTCACCCGGAGCTTCGCGAGAGCTTTGGCTTAGGTTCGTATCCTGGCCGGGGAGAATTGACCGGGTACCAGTCCTTAACTGTAGCCTCTGTTCACCCAGCAGTGAATGGGTACCTGGTTGTTAAACGATTTACGGGTTGTATTCCGGGGAAAATTAGTATTAAGGACCTGCCCGAAACGCTGTGCGTGCTAGTGGCTGTACAAGAATGTAAGAACTCATAAGTATGTATATGTATGTGTATGTTATATATGTATACGAGTACACGCACGAGGCCCCCCCCCCCCCCCGAATAAACGCCTGTATGCACTGAGAGTGCGAGGTATGCATGTTTATGTTCTTACCCAAGTACACGCACGAGGCCCCCCCCCCCCCCCGAATAAACGCCTGTATGCACTGAGAGTGCGAGGTATGCATGTTTGTGTTCTTACCCAAGTTATGTTTTTACCTGTTTTGGTCTCGACAAATTTCCGTGGAGTGGTGGACATTTAAAACGTGTAACTGCCTCCTCGGCCTCACTTAGCGCATTCCACTTGGGTTCTGGGTTTCCCTGTGTTGCTCCTCTTCCAGTATTATTCGTGCCAAACACTCTTTTTTTTTTTCTTTTGTGCCTTGTCTATTCTCCTGAGTGCAGGCGATAAGTCACAATAACGTGGCTAAAGTATCGACTTGAGAATGGTCCAGGACGGACCGAAACGTCGTCGTCCCTTCACCTTCTAGTGTGTGGTCTGGTCAATATTCTGAGAATTTTTGTGTATGGTGATCAAGTCTTCGCTGTATCTTTGTCACTTTTCATTATCGTGAAGCTCAACTTCTTTAGTTTTTCCCAAGTAGCTCATACCTCTCGGCTCCGGGACTAGTCTGGTGGCTTACCTCGGAACTTTCTTCAGCCTCGTTTTGTGTTTACAAGTTTTTGAACGTCTCTTAGTTCAAATTTGTAAATGTCGTTTTCATGTTGGTCAACCTTGCATATGGAGCTGATGATATTAGTTCGAGATGAGTGTTGGGAGACAGGTTGGGCGTGATATCTACTCCCAGCTCCTATTTTGTCCAGTTCCATAAGGGATTTCTTCGTTATTTGGTACCTTGTGTCCGTCCTCTTCCCAGCTCTAATGCTACAGTTAAACTCTATTAGCCGCTGATTGGATCGTCTTGTCATTAGCCCATAGGTCATCCTTGGAGTGAGTGTACTCGCCTATCTGTGCCTGCTAGGTAACAGGGGGAGGCAGAGTGAAAGAAACTCTGCTCATCTGTTTCCGCCGGCGCCCGGATCGAACCCTGACCCCTAGGATTACGAGGGCTAAGCGCTGTCCACTCAGCCACAGGCCCCCTCTGTGTGTACTCAACTAGTTCTACTCACTTAGTTGTGCTTGCGGGGGTTGAGCTTTGCCTCTGGTCCCGCTTCTCAACTGTGTGCGCGCGTACGTACGAACTCGCCTTGTGGTGCTTGCGGGGGGGGGGGGGGGTTGAGCTTCGGCTCTTTGGTCCCGCCTCTCAGCTGTCAATACACGGGTGTACAGATTCCTGAGGTGTGTAGTGACTTTAAAAGTATGAGTGACTTTTTAGTATGATTCATCCAGTCATACTAAAAAGTATGATTGGATGTGTGTATACAGGCAAGTGTTAAAGGTGGGAATGTTTATATTCAGTTGTTGTGTGTGTGTGTGTGTGTGTGTGTGTGTGTGTGTGTGTGTGTGTGTGTGTGTGTGTGTGTGTGTCTCCGTGGTGTGTGTGTGTCTCCGTGGTGTGTGTGTGTGTCTCCGTGGTGTGTGTGTGTGTGTGTGTGTGTGTCTCCGTGGTGTGTGTGTGTGTGTGTGTGTGTGTCTCCGTGGTGTGTGTGTGTCTCCGTGGTGTGTGTGTGTGTCTCCGTGGTGTGTGTGTGTGTCTCCGTGGTGTGTGTGTGTGTGTGTGTGTGTGTGTGTGTGTGTGTGTGTTTGCTGATCATTTTCCATCCCGCAGTCTTTTGATACACGCACACAGGAATGATTGTGATTACCATACGGTAGAGTACGTTAAGCTAGGCCAGATAAAGAGAGATGAGCTGTGAGGACAAGCTTAGTAAATCTTGCCTTAATTACTTTAGAAAAGATGACAAGGGATATGGTCACAACGTAGATAATTCTGCTGGGAGTAGGGAAAGAGGGATATACAGGCGTTTCTAGGTAAGCTGAAAACACAGATGATCTGTAGGAATATAAGGAAAGACTACTCGTGTACACCGAGTGGGTAAACAAGTGGAACTTGAGCCAGTTCAAGTTCATGTTTATTGAGATAAGAAAGAAATACATCTCAAAGGGATAGAGTAACTTCGCGAAACTGTTGGGAGATTCAACAGTTGTGAGGCGGGGCTCTAGAGCTGAATCTCGCTTCCCAAACACACCTAGGTAAAAATATTGGGTTAATGCAGACCCATCTAGATAAGGGGCCTCGTAGCCTGGTGGATAGCGCGCAGGACTCGTAATTCTGTGGCGCGGGTTCGATTCCCGCACGAGGCAGAAACAAATGGGCAAAGTTTCTTTCACCCTGAATGCCCCTGTTACCTAAATAGGTACCTGGGAGTTAGTCAGCGGTCACGGGCTGCTTCCTGGGGTGTGTGTGTGGCGTGGAAAAAAAGTAGTTAGTAAACAGTTGAGAGGCGGGCCGAAAGAGCAAAGCTCAACCCCCGCAAACACAACTAGGTGAATACATACAGATCAAACCTCACAATGGTTATCAGAGCCATTCATAAACCCCTAATCCCACTCTTATCAATCATTCATCTTCCATCCATTTATCCACTCTCTCCATCATTCTACCGCCCCCACTCACACGAAACTCTTCCTCACGCTTAGGAACATTCCACTCATCTTGAGGTTATCTTGAGATGATTTCGGGGCTTAAGTGTCCCCGTGGCCCGGTCCTCGACCAGGCCTCCACCCCACAGGAAGCAGCCCGTAGCAGCTGTCTAACTCCCAGGTACCTATTTACTGCTAGGTAACAGGGGCATCAGGGTGAGAAAAAAACATTTTACCCATTTGTCTCCACCTCCACCGGGAATCGAACCCGGAACCTCAGGACTGCGAATCCGAAGCGCTGTTCACACAGCTGTCATGCATAAACATTCCCCAGACTCGTTGAACCACGCATTCCTAAACTTATACACATTACCCCACTCATTCATCCACATCATATCCCTTATGTACATTATCCCTCTCCCCCCCCCCCTATGGAGGTAATGGGGTCCAGTGTGAGTGCACACTGGACCCCATTACCTCAATACCCATCCCACTCACATTGGACCCCATCCCACTCAATGTGACTCCCACCCCTGACTCCTCCCCAACACCCGCTCATCCTCGAAGCCAGCTGCCTTTCCCCAGTTTTGCCTAAAAGCCACGCCACCGCCCGCACCTCTATCATCCCCTCCCTGCCACCCCCACCCTCTCCTCCCCCCCCACCACCGCCCACCTCAAACGCATTCACCCCGCCCGCCCCCACGTGGCCGCCCACCCGGCCCTCGATCGCTCCCACCGCCCGCCACCTTCCCCCCTTTCTGCCTTGGACGCCCCGCACACACCCCCCCTCCACGGTCGCTGTCTCCCCCTCCCGTCGGCCCCACTACCACATTCACCACATCCTCTACCACAGTCTACCTGGGTTCAACCCCAATGCCCCCCCCCCTCCCCTTACCTTACTAACTCTGCCTGCCTCTAGGGATCTGACACACACACTAGTGACTGTGTGTGTAATCACTTAGGTAATTACACTCACTGATTCACTCATAATCACTCACACAGTTGAGACGCGGGACCAAAGAGCCAAAGCTCAACCCCCCCCCCCCCTCCGCAAGCTCAACTAGGTGAGTACACTCACTCACTCACCCCTGTCCTCCCTCTCTCTTGTTTCTTCCATTCCATTAGACACGCCTCAATTTTCACTGCACCTCGCTTCAAATCTTTCAAGGGCCATGTAGCTATTGGCGTGAGAACGGGTTCCCTATTTTAGTACAAGTATTCATGAGTGTTGGGGAATGTCTGTCTTATTACGGGCCCCGAGTTCGATTTCCATCTGAGGTACAAACAAATTTGGTTTCTTTCAACTGATCAACAGAACTCGTCGCCTAGCAGTAAATCGGTACCTGCGAGTTAGACAGCTGTATCCTGGGGATGTGTATGCGAGAGGGGGAGGGGAGAGGAATATATGGAATAGATGAGAGAGGGAGAGATAAATAGAGCACGAGTTAGTACATTAGACAACCGATGGTTAGAATGGCGGGGTCCAAGAGCTAACAGCTCGATCCTGCAGGCACAAATAGTAAATTACACATACACACACACGCACCCTATTCCAAGGAGCCAAAGCTCAACCCCCGCAATCACAAATAGGTGAGCGCGCGCGCACACATACATACATACATACATCCACAGCAAATATATATAATTTGTCAAATATAAGGTACTATAATTGCATTTCACTAGGCATGTGATATTTTCGAATAGGCTGTTTACTACTGTCCATCATCCTTCACCCCCATCTCTGTTGAAGTTTATGGGTTTTTCCGTGGACCCTATACAGTACTCTTGTCTCTGGCTCCTTTCCCTTCCTGGCTTGTGGTGACCCATGTTGAAGGTTTTTGTCTTGCTGAGGCTTGCCCGTGTCCCGGTAGGTTTAGGGAAGGAGGCGCGCTGGAACATCGGCTGATGCCATACTTCTTCCCCCCACACACACACCAAATGCTAGATGCTCGGCTCGAGCCTGCACAAGCATTAGCCCCGGAGACCCGACTTACCAGCATTTTTTGTTTTTTTTTGGCCCCGAGGGGCGAGTTTATTGGGCAGCGCCACTAATGTTGTGAGTGGACATGCCGTCATAGCAGCATGTACAACACTCCTCAATAGGAAGAAAACTCGCTGGGTTGTTCATCCTGTACTTACCAGCAGTTGGTTATGTAATGCAGTGACTTCTGAACCTTTTGTATGATCAGAAACACCCCCCTCTCCCGCCCCTCCCTCATCCCACTCATCCTCCTCTTACCCCCCTCATCCTCCTTTTACCCCTCTCCCTCCTCCCTCTCCCTCCCCCTCTCCCTCCCCCTCCCCCTCCCTCCCCCTCCCCCCTCCCTCGTCCCCTCTTACCCTCTCTACTTCTCCCCCCCCCCCCCCCCCCTCCCTCATCCTCCTTTCCCCCTCCTCTTACCCCTCCTCTTACCCCCCTCCTCTTACCCCTCCTTCCACCCCCTCTGCCCCCCCCTTCCTCCTCATCCTCCCCCTTCTCCTCCCCCCTTCTCCTCCCCCTTCTCCTCCCCCCTTCTCCTCCCCCCTTCCTCCTCCTCCTCCCCCCTCCTTTCCCCCCCCTCCTCTCCTCTCACCCTACTCTTTCCCCATCCCTCTCCCCCCCCTCCCTCCCTCCCCCTCTCTCCTGTGTGGGTGTGGCTAAATTTCCTACCAAGTCTACTTCTCTTGGAATTACATAATTTTTCTCAATTGTTTTCTTAGGGAATGATAGTTTTTCACGATATTATACTGTACAGTACTGTATATGATATTAATTTTAATGAGAGTTAGTTTTAACATATAAATTTGATCAAACATAACCAAAGTCAGTAATTCATGTTCTTAATCTAATACTGTAATATTAGTTCAAATAAACCAATTTAATTTTTTTTTTTAAATATTGAAAATCACCCTGCCTAATAGGCAAATCAGGCCTTGCATACTAGGCCAAGTAGTGCATATATATAAACATTCATGTGTGGGTGTGTACTGTATAAATATGTATACTGTGTGTGTGTGTGTGTGTGTGTATATATAATATATATATATATATATATATATATATATATATATATATATATATATTATATATATGTCGTACCTAGTAGCCAGAACGCACTTCTCAGCTACTATGCAAGGCCTGATTTGCCTAATAAGCCAAGTTTTCATGAATTAATTGTTTTTCGACTACCTAACCTACCTAACCTAACCTAACCTAACCTAACTTTACCGGCTACCTAACCTAACCTAACCTATAAAGATAGATTAGGTTAGGTAGGGTTGGTTTGATTCGGTCATATATCTACGTTACCTTTTACTCCAATAAAAAAAAATTGACCTCATACATAATGAAATGGGTAGCTTTATAATTTCATAAGTAAAAAATTTGAGAAAATATATTAATTCAGAAAAACTTGCCTTATTAGGCAAATCGGGCCTTGCATAGTAGGCTCAGAAGTGCGTTCTGGCTACTAGGTACGACATATATATATATATATATATATATATATATATATATATATATATATATATATATATATATATATATATATATATATATATATATATATATATATATATATATATATATATATATATATATATATATATATATATATATATATATATATATATATATATATATATATATATATATATATATATATATATATATATATATATATAATATATATATATATATATATATATATATATATATATATATATATATATATATATATATATATATATATATATATATATATATATATATATATATATATATATATATATATATATATATATATATATATAATATATATATATATATATATATATATATATATATATATATATATATATATATAGTTAGTAAATACACATACGTTTGGTATCACTCTTATCCAACATGCTAATCATAAGCTTCAATAATCTGCATATCGGTTTTGATAATTACTTGATGCTGGCAGCAATTAGGGCCCCTCTGTTAACCCCCACACATACAGAAGTTGTTCCTGACTTTTTTTTTATAATTATACCTTACTATTAGTATGGGATAAATAGAAAAGTTGTTAAGAGGAGCATTGGAGGCATGTGTGACGAGGTGGAGACAGTTAAGAAATGATGGCACTTGTCCTTTCCTGTCCAGGTGTGCATTGTGAGGGGTGTGCTTCACTACACCATAGTACAGTAATCTTGAGTTGTATAGAATGTGTTAGTTTTAAGCTTTCTATTGAATACCTATGAGGCTGGAAGAATTGATGTGGTTGTAAGCAGTTTCCTTGCCTGCTGGTTACCTTATTTTATGTATACATGTACAGGTAAATATGTTGTATAAAGAGAGTGCTATACTTCAGTTTGTTCATTTTTGTACTCTATATTTTATGAAAAGTGAACAAATTCAAACTTATTTTGTGTTGGGTGCAGTAATGCTGTATGATGGAAAGTTTGATGGTGAACAGATCATCCTTTTATACATTACACTATTTATATATGAGGGTTGTGTATATTGAATCAAATTGGGCAAGAATTTCAGTGCTTCTCAGCTCTGATATTACTGAAATGTTTTCTTTGTCTTTTTACAGGAAGTGCGTCATGAGCGAGGAGGAGTTCTTGCTTAAGTGGAACAACCACCAGAGTAATTTTGTAGATGTCTTCAACGAACTCCTCAGAGATGAATCATTCGTGGACGTGACACTGGTCTGCGGGGGAGAGGCAGTGCCAGGCCATAAGATGGTTTTGGCAGCATGCTCCCCCTTGCTGCATCGCATCCTTCGGGACAACCCTTGCAAGCACCCGTTGGTCATACTTGGTGATGTGCCTGCTAGAGACATGAGGGCGATGATGAAATTTATTTATCAGGGCGAGGTCAGTGTGTCTCAGAGTGAATTGGCAAGTTTTTTGAAAACTGCGGACAACCTTCAGATAAAAGGATTAGCAGAGGACAAGGAAAAGGAAAAGGAAGATAAAAAAAGAAAAGACAAAGATAGTGATAGAGTTGATGGCCGGCCAAATAGCAAAAGACAAAGGACTTCAGATTCTAGAATAATTGACTGTTCTTCCCCTTTACCTGCACGCTCACATAAGTCACTCAATGATTCTCATTCTTCTAGTCACAAAAACCGGAGTAGAAACTCCACTGACGATCAGCCACTCAAAGGTGGTGGGAGAGGGGGAGGCTTGCACGCTCCGGCCTCTAAACATAACTCGTCAAAGAATTCCAGCTCAAAACCCACTTCTCATGACATTCCTTCTAAAGTTTCTAAGCCATCCGAGGAGAATGACACTCGGCACGTTAACTCCAACAATGGTGTTGATGATGATGTTTTGCCTAAAGAGGAGAGTGTTGATGAACTAGTGAGTAAACAGTGTCTTTACAATTATAATAATTTTTCATTCAAACTTTTCAGCTTTGCAAAAACTATAGGCTAAGTTAATGTTATGATGAATTGTATGCGTGAGGCTGTGTTCATTTGAAAGCTGACACCAGTAATCAACATCCAAATGAATTCAACTTCAAGCATACAGCTGTTCGATGGTCCTCCATTGATCCAGACGGAAGATAGAAAATCTGGCTTAGAGCTAGAAGCCGGAGGCAGGCAACTTTCATTTTACCCGATCCTTCGACGCTCCCTACGATTAAGGGGGTTAGGTGAATTGTAGAGTGAGGTGTAACCACTCTAATAAATGTCTTGATTTACTCGTGTAAGCTCAGTATAGCTGTGTCAGTTCTACAGAGTGTACTCTTGAAGATGTCACATTGTTGACGAAACGTCGAACAATAAAAATGGAAAGTGTAAGTGATCTAGTGTTTCTTCACCCTCCAGATGGTAGAAGATATTTGCATAGAATGGATAATATCCAAAAGAAAATTAATAATAGTCAATGCTATTGTCTTTAATGATTGTATTAGAGAAAACCTGCTCCCAACATATACTAATTATATAATATATATATATATATATATATATATATATATATATATATATATATATATATATATATATATATATATATATATACACACACATACATATACATACATACATACACACTCTGTATACATTATATTATAAAATTGTGTGCATGTAAAAGTCAGGCTTATTTCCCATCATTGTTCTAATAATTTTGGTTATTGGTGAGCTTTGTTTATTGAAATAAGGAGGCAATCCTTACTGTGTAATAGAGGCACCTAATGGGCTAGGGACTAAACCCTAAAAAATCCTGTAATGTGTAATGCACCCTTCAGTCAGAAGGTACAGTTATTCTCCTTGTCAAAGTACAGTATACTACAGATACAGTACATCACTATGTAAGATAACATAATCTCACTCCTTTGACAACACCTCCTTCCCCCCCCCCCCCACACATCTTCCATGTTCAATTTCAGTGTTTAATTGCTATGTACGCCTTTACAAGTTGAAAACTAAAAGTGACATATAGATGAAGGGCATTGTTCGTGGTTTGGAAATGTTTAGTAGCATGGACAGTGAAGTATCAAGAGTTGCTAGCACAAGTTTATTTGCATGTGGTAATGTTTGGCAAGAAAGAAGTAATTTATACAAAAATAATTGATATATGGCAGGCAATTTGAGCAGATCACAGAGACGAGTGATGGCTTTGCTAGAGCTTCTCTTTTGATAACCATTTACTAAATGTTAGGAATTGTTGTTGTGCAAAATTCAAAGTACTGTGTAGAACAAATTTGTATATTTTTGGTGTAATGGTTGTAGGTATTGTGTGATTCTGTGGATATTAAGTGTTACACTTGTTCCGTGTTCAAATTGATATATTAATAATTTTTTATAGATTTGTATACTGTATATAAATATTGACATTGATAAAATAATGGAATGTAAGTAATTTCCAGTAAAATTGGTTTTGCATTTATGGCAAAGTATGAATTGTTGTGCATGTTGCATTAATGCAGAATTGGAAAAGTTTGCAAGACTTTCAGTGTGGTAAGGCACTGTACGGTAACACAAAAGGTCCTCACCCACTTGAGATTATACTCGTTGTACCTCCTTTTGAGCACTATTGCACATAATTCCTATAATATCACACTTGTACTTGGTCTGTATATAATGTAATGGGAAAAACTGTCTCAGGTTAGTCAACAATCATCATTGGCAACCCAAATGTTCAGTAGCTTGTATCATGGCAACTGTTAAAAGTTATGATGTGATATTAATTTATAACGTAACACAATGTGTCTTGGTGTTCTGATTGCGTTTTCATTTTGTTTAGGCTTGAATTCAGACACCAGCCACCCCAAATGTTTATTTACTTGTTTCTTGGGAACCACTTGGCATTAAGACTTGATAATAATGTACAAGGTAGTACTGTATTTTGTGATATTTTTGTATGATTTATAGTTTTTAACAAGGCTTGGAGACATTTTACTTTTGTTGGCCAAAAATAAGTTTTATGTGATTAGAACTGGCTAATTATCTCATCTTATTTTAATATACAGCACTTTTTATGTACAAGGCTTTGATTGGGTTCAGTGTATTTGATGATACAGTATGTTTATTCTGCTCTAAACAACCTACCCTACATATTTGTAGAGTAGTTCCCTGCTCTAAATAGGCTACGACTTCATATTTGTAGGCATGTTCCCAGTTCTAAATTGGCTACCACTTCATACCTGTAGGGATGTTCCCTGTTCTAAAGAGCCCATCCTGTATTTTTATAATAGTGTTCACTCTTAGACAGCCTACCCTACATGTTTGTAGGGATCCTCCCTTTTCCATAAATAAAGCCCCCCCCCCTACATTTTTATATTTTGTCAAAGTGTTGCTCCTCATGTTTTAACCTACAACTATAATTGGACCTCAGTCTTCACCTGGGCAGTGATGTGGAAATCTTAGTAAGTTTTGTTTAATTTTCAGACAGTTAAAACAGAGCCATTAGACTATCCGGGAGAGATGGTATGGACGGAAGGTCACGGCACCATCAACAGTGACACCCTGGATGATGCTCAAGGTCTGCTGCCCCTCGTTGCAATACCTGGTGCACTAGAGGGTGTTGCTGCTGCCATGGGTGTCTCTGCCAACTTACCCATCATTGAGTTTGGTGAGTAGGCATGTTGTTGGTGTTAGTATCACCATTAGCTTTTATGCTATTGAATTATTTTGCATGGTACAGTACTATATATAGAATTATGGTCAGTCTGAAGACAAGTTTTTAATCAGGTAATTATTTGGATGGTGTGTCAAAGTTTCTTAAAAAAATGATAACGGCTGAGGAAAATATATAAGAATATATATAGTGAAAATATATAAGGAAAAATAAACCACAGACCTACCTATTCGAAGGTCTGTGGTTGTACACGGGTGTACTTTCCATTTTGTAAATCTTGAATGTTAGTGATGCATGCCCAACCCCCCTGTTTCATATATATTAAAGAGAAATCCAGTAAATGCATCCAGAGGGCTGTATGAAGGAGTGGTAGTGCCAGAGATAATGGTGTGGTGTTTATGAGAAAGTTATGAGTTAAGAGTAGTAAAATGTATAATTTAAGAAGCACGTGTGGAGCTAGAAGAGTAGATAGATTAAATATGAAAATGTCCTGGAGCAATGGGGAGATCAAAAGTCGGTAAATTGCAAGATTGAGGAGAGCATTCCGATATGGTTTGAACGTGTTGGAACGAAAGTATGATGGTAAACTTGGTGAAGAGAGAGCATTCAAATGAATTTAAGTGTAAGCAGAGGACAAGAAGATAGGTGTATATTGCAAGTGTAAATTGAATGTGGACAATGCAAAGAATATAGTTAGGGATAAGAGCTATCTTGTGAGGTCATCTTGAGATGATTTCGGGGCTTAGCGTCCCCGTGGCCTGGTCCTTGACCAGGCCTCCTTTTTGTTACACCCCACCCCCTCTCCCAGGAAGCAGCCCGTAGCAGCTGTCTAACTCCCAGGTATCTATTTACTGCTAGATAACAAGGGCATCAGGGTGAAAGAAACTCTGCCCATTTGTTTCCGCCTCCACCGGGGATTGAACCCGGAACTTCAGGACTTCGAATTCGAAGCGCTGTTCACTCAGCTGTCATGGCGAGTAGAAGCAGTTTACAACGTATAACATGCTTGCTTTTCTGTGAAGTGCTATATTGTATCTATATGATATCAAGAAAGGAAAAGAGGAAAAGTGATATTTCTAATCTTATATTATTTAATGTATAATGTGTTTTAACTTTTTTTTTTCTAGATTTCTGCTCTCCCCTTATTTCCCCTGTGCTGATGCCTCTGCACAATATGATAGTGGGAAATGAAATAATGATAGTGCAAGAAAAAAAGGGGTTCTTGCCAGAACAATTTTTTTTTTTTTAATTTTCTTGGCTTGGTACTTTTATTATTTATAGTTTCTCATATTAATATACAGTATTGTTTCTAAAATTACACTGTAATAAAAAAATCTTCAAAAGGTTTGAAGATCTGTAAAAGGTTTTTACAGCAAAAATAATTTTAAATAGTCTCAATCATCAGTAACTGCACCACTGATGCAACCTTGTCATCACACGCCTCCCTCATCAATAGCAGCTGCACCTGTCACCATCGTCACCAATACGCTTCTCAATCGATGGCAATTATCTGCCTCCACAAATACTTATCCTCCTCTGATCATCAGTGTATGGTAGGCAACAATCCCCAACACGCTTCTCCCTCAGTCATACATAGTTTGACTTGTTGTGGTCGTCATCAACACACACTTATTTCATTCAGAAGAATATTTTATTTTTTGTTTAGGAATACAAGAAAGTAAATTAAAACACTGACTACTGTATTAGGAAAAAGACCTTGCCTACTGGGCCTTGTAGTTCAGTTCTGGCTGTTAGATTTATTTGATTTAGTCTGTATACTTTATACAGGTTATATACAGTACTGTGGTGTATTTATAACAGTCAATTTCCTTCAATATAAACTGTGTGTTTTTGCACTATTTTCCAACAGTCTTGAAAATTCACAGGTGAAGATAGTCGAAATGATGATGGAAGTCGTGGAGACATGTCGACAGCCTCGGACGACATCAACGCCAATACTGCAGGAGTGAGTACCACTTAGTCTCTACTAAACACGCTGATTCTGGAGGATTTAGTTATTGCTCTTACTCATCCATTGCTCATTACATCCAGTTAAGTTTTTGCTCTTGGTTTTCAGTTCTTAATTCAGTTCCTGATACAGGATTGTGCCTTACAGTTGTAAAGGACCGGATGGTTTAGCTTTAACTGTTTCCTTGATTGGTTATTGTCTTTGCTGGTACAGTACTATTATTTAAATTGGAATGAAAATGCTTGATATGTCAGGTGCATATCAAAGGTTTTCCTTTCCATATTTTAATATATACAAGTGTTTAGATAATACTGCACAGTATAGAAATAAATATTACCTAATGCAAATTAAGTGTCTGAACTGTTAGTACAATAATTTGAATGGTGTTAATGTTCACAATACAATTCTTGCACTTGTTTACAATTGCAACTAAATAATCCATCACCATTGCACATCACTTGTCACATTTCACTCTAAATCTAAGGAAACTTCTATCCCGACTGCCGTAAATCATATCTCATGTCTCGCTACTCTAGCATTTGTATACTGTGCTGTATTATAGTGCCATTACGTTATGCTCTTCTACTTTCCTACCCATAACTTTTCACGTGTTCAAATAAATTACATCGTTTGAATTTACTTAACCTGGTTCCTTCACCTACAGGAAAATGAGTAAGTATTAAAACAGATTGAGCATAACCTCTTGTGTCTGATATTAGTATAAGATTCTTATAATGTAGTTTTATAGGAATAAACTTGTGTGGTGTAAATTCTCGCACTAGTGGTGTGTGAGACAAGCTAACGTGCGACTATCCCGTGATTGAGCATGTTATTGGTTTGATTATATCTTCTATATAATATTGGCTCTTTTTGATTTACATGTTTTATTTAATATTTCATAACCTGTTTATATTTCCCATCTGCCTTAAAGGACATATGCAACCATCTTGAAAGTTGTTGAAAATAAAGTACTGTCTTTATTTGTCATGTCTGAGGAAAAGATTAAAATTTATCACAAAGCAAATAATTTATTTTTGCTACTCTAGTACATCATATAAATTTGTCCTGTCAGCCATTTGTGATCAAAATGTCACAACATGACATTAAAATTGTCACAGGTTGATCCAGTGTTTGTCAGCAAAAGCAGATGAGAATTCAATATATAATTAACCTTTACTAACAGCATACAGTACAGCTTTAATTATTATAAATATATTAACTAGTAATATGGGAAAATATGAGCTTTATTTTAATAATTTTTCCATTAAACGGTAAGAATAAAATTTTGTGGTTTTATGAGAAGATTAAGAGAGACTATTATCATTGGCTGGCAGAAGTGCACTATACAGGGTACTGAAGATCTTTCGCCTGGCTGCCTTAAGAAAATCTTGTGGATGCTAGAAATTTAAACATTTTGTAAAATGTTGAAAGAGAATCATTACTCAAGATATAGTTTTCTCTGCACTAAAACTACTACTAATTGTAAATAGACAAAATGACACTTTCAAGAATTATCACAAATTAAATGAAGTTAATCATTTTTATTGCATATGGCCTTTCAGGGAAAAAGAATCATGTTTGATTTCTTCCTTTACATTGTCTGCGTCTGCTTCTTTATTGTGTTTGTTAGTGTAAATGACAAGTGCCGTAATTCTTGGCTCATTGTAATTGAAGACAATTCATGGATTAGGGGTAGGGTTGGGGGGCATGGTTGTTACTCCTAATTTGATCTTGCTTTGCTGCAGTTATATGCTGCTCCTTAAAATGTGGAAATAAGTGGTTTTATCATTTTAGGATGTTAAGAATTAAATAAAACAGGCCAGTTAAAATTCTGTGTGAAGTCTTTTTTTATATTGATATATTACCCCTTCTTGCTGTGCCTGACATGCAGGAGATGGGCATGATTTCATTCTCTTTAGTAAGTAGGAGTACAAGCAGTGAAAGTTCTCTGTGTAAGGTGGCATTGCTGAATTGCTGAGAGTAAGTTAATTGTGAGGGTCAGTAGTGAGAGTTGCATCAGCAATGCTTCATCCAGGCCGGCACACTTCAGTTCTTATTGCACATCTCCAGGTTGGCACAACAAAGGCTTGCTGCAGAGGAAACCGCATGGTAATTCTTACTCTAATATATTTAACGTTATGTCAGTGATAGGGTTTACAGTAAGGTACTTGGGGGAGGGTATTGTAGGTAGCTACCACAACAAAACAAATGTGAAGAATGCAGACAGACGACTTACAAACTGAGATCTTTCTCTCTTGTCATTTACTTAGCGAAGTTGTGGTATCACCTACCATTCTCTCTACCAGGGTGACTGGGTGCGGGGTAGACTAACCCAGGGTTGTGTTGGAGACATTGGGACAGTGCATCCATCCAGTCAGGGCCATCCCCATCCAGCACTGCAGTTACCACCACCACCGCCACTTTCTACTCCAATTTCACAACAACAACAACAACAGCTACAGGAGCCACCACTACTCTCAAGTCAACGAGGTGTTCTTGGATTCCCTGGAGTGGTTGTAGCACCACCCTTCTCCAGTTCTACCACCAACACTTCTGCATCATACATCAGCGGGACAGGAGCTACCTCATCACCACCATCAAACTTCACCACCACTATTACGACAAGCAATAATAACAGCGTACATAAATGTTACCAGTGCCCCTTCATTACCTCAAATCCATACACATTCACGCGACATTTGCGTATTCATCTGGGCACTAAGGAGTTTCGTTGCCGAGTGTGTGGCTTTGCCTCCTCTCGCAAGGACTCCCTCATTCGTCACTTTCGCATGAAACATTTGACAGGAGAGATGTCAATGTACCATGACCTAGATTCCAGAGACATTGAAGAGTTAGCATTGATCAAGGGTATGCCAGATGGGCGGCAACTTTTGCCTAGTAAATTTTAATGATTAACACCTGGATTTGTTTCTAGCCGATGTCCAAGGGCATGTTGCATCTTCCAGATAAAAATACTTAATGTAGGTATCTGGTGGATATTCATGAACACTACCTTTATGTAGGCTTTAAGAAAAAATTTACTAATCGAGTATATTTTTTCATTGCTTGTCCTCAGGTATTTTCTATAAAATGAAATTAAATCAAAGCAATTTCCTTTGAAGAAATATTTTTTATGTAAGATAGATTTTTGCTCAGTGTTTAAGTAACAAAACTTTGAAATTTATTGTGTTAGACTTCAAAATAGATCACATTACTACTAATTGCTTCTTGTATCCTAACAAGGAAATTTTAACAAATTTTGGTTTTAAATAAACTCCATGACAAAGACATTTAATTTAAGGGACAGTTGAATGATTTTATAATAAAAATGTGTACAGTTATACATAAATTATATTTCATAGTTCTAAATTAAATACAGTAAACAAAATGTGCTCATTTATTGTACCCTGATAGGTAATATTTTTTCAGCTCTATAGAGCCATACTGGCTTATCATTTTCCCTTTGATTATTACTTTACAGCAGATCTAACCAAATATCTTACCACATTAGTCTTCTCAGCTCATGAATTAGTTCCTATTACTGTAGTCCATCCATAGGAGATAAGGATTAGTTATAATGCCATTGACATTCTCCGGTGGCCACTCAGGCTTTCACCTCGAATATCTTGTGTATACAGTATCATTCACCAAGTGATAGGTATTGTAACTGGAGATTCAGGAAGGCTGCCTGCTGAGGGTAACATCGTGTTGGATATCAAGCCCGACATTCCAAACTATACGATATTAAATAAGAGCGCACAGAGCTTACAAATTTTGTATAGGTAAATGAGAAATGCAAATACATTGTTGCAATTGCTTTGCAGTGAATGTTACTGGAACCACATATGCTACTTTTATTGAACTATATTTATTTCAATGTTCTAAATTAAGCTATTGTACAAATGAATGAAAAAATATGTTTTGGCTTCTTTTAATGACAGAAATTGTTTGTTCTAGACTTCAGTAAGAGACTAAGAATACAAATTTATTTTATTTGCTTTGTATAAATCTTTGGATGTCTCAACACTTCTTCAGGCAGTGGATAGATATTATCCACACACACTGTTTCCTCATTATTCACTTTAGTTTACACCTCTTTCTCCCTCGATACAATTCTCCGGGAATCTGATTGCCTTGATATCCCCCATCTTGTCTTTGTGCTCGTGGTGGATCCTGAATGATACCTAGCAACTGTTTTAATATTGTGTGAGTGTGCTATATAGACTCCCAGGCTTGGTGCCTTCTTTTAATAATTACGTACCTCACCTCTTGCCTCTTTCCTATCTTTCTTGCTCTCTCCCATCTTTCTCTCTCTCTCTCTCTCCCAGCCTCTTTTCCCTCTTTCTTGCTCTCTCCCACTTTTACCTTTTCTCTACTCAACTCACGTACTTCCCCTTCTTCTTTCCGAAGGGTCTTCACTCTTTTTCGCGTTTTACATAATGAAGGCAGAGACTTTTTGCGAAGGTAAAACCAAAATGCATAATACTTCAACAACTCCTGTTTGGTCTCTTGCACATGAAGTTCATATAACTCTTATTTGAAAAAAAAATATCTGCACACCACATCACTTGGAAAAATGCATAATGAAATTTTAACAATGTATTGGAATGACTGTAGTTAGTTTTCAGTTATTGTTCCAGTAACTCATTAAAATGTTGCAAAATTTTACAAGTTATTGATATGTTCAAAAGGTCCCAGTAACTTTCTTATATAGTTATAACTATGACATTCTGTGCGCTTGGCAGATAGAGAATCCTATTTACATGATGTACGTTTATTATACATTTATTATGTTATGAAATTTGTGTTTTCCTTCTTTTCAGTTTTAAGTTATTGATAATTTGTGTTTTTTCCTATTAAGTAATTGGGCAGTAAGTTGTATGGCATGTAGGGAGATGTGTTTTGTAGGTGAGGCAATGTAATGCAAACCATTGCCTTTATGCTGATCTTGTACAAACCTTGGTCAAATACATGTAGTACTCCACTTTGATGTGATTATACTGTGACTCGAAGTATTTTCAAATATTTTTGTACTGTCAAAGGCTTAATTAAGGAAATATTTATATCATGACAAATAAAAGATTGACTGTTGTTTGTGGTGAAACAATGCCTCAAGAGAATATACAGTTTGCAACTTGAAAGAAGGGTTTCATTGCTGAACCTGCTGCGAAGGGGAAATATTTTCTAAGCACCTACTTTGTCTGGTTATGGCTTTGTATAGATAGTAATTTTTACCGTTGTTTTCCTTACTTGCCTTTCCTCAGTATCGTATTTTAAATTGGCAATTACTTGAGTAGAAGTCTGCCTATTGATCTCGGACACATACACATGCACAATGGGTGTTGGCCCAAACCATATTCATGCTGACTTGAAGACGTTGCCATGCCATCACTTGTAGAATTCCTTTTCGGGTGTTGGATTCCTTGCTCGCGACCCTACTCCTTTATTTTGACTTCTGTATCTACCCCTTTCTATCTCATTCCAAAACAGTGTTTTTAGTCATTGTCCAAAGTGAGAACACTGTAATTCTTCATTAAATCTATTACAGTTTAGGATTTATTGTTGTACATTAATCTTTTTCATATATTTTTCTACCTTCCATTATTTGTTCTGTATTTTCTGCCTGATTTCACCTTGCCTATTTTCAAATTTGTTCCAAAAATATGCAATTGTCTTTTGGGTTAGGAGACTAGAGTGTTCAACAACAATAGTGGAGAAATATGCACATTTGCGAAGAAGGAATGTTGCATCAGTGGCAACTGAATGTTACAAATCACACACAGTTTTGATCAAGAATGAGGAGTGGAAGAAGAGAATAATTTGATTATTAAGCTTGAGAAGATACCACAAACCACCATTTCATGCACCATGGTGTATGACTTGAGTGGCTACATATGTGAACGGTAAACTTTGAGATTCACTAATGAAGATGAGTTTTAATTGTACTTGTTATTGGCTAGAAAAATACACATTCCTGAACATTTCTACTAAAGAAGTAATTGTATATGATAAAAAAAGTTTGCCTTTTAGTAGTATGTATAAAGAGAAAATTTTGATAATCGAATATGTTCATTCTGTATTCAGTTAAAAATAATAAGTGGAGCTGAATAATATGGATTTACTATCAAATATTGGATTGAACCTTTCTCATATCATTTCCAAAAATCTTTTGATAAAACTACAATGTGCATATTTACTGAATATGCACATTTGCAAAGAAGGAATGTTGCATCAGTGGCAACTGAATGTTACAAATCAAACTGAATGTTACAAATGTTAATACAATTATTCCCCCTCCTCCCCCCTACCTCAAGCCAATAGATTTGCCTCTTCTTCTACTGATATTATGCTTATATCTGAATGATAAATATTTACAAGGTTTTAACTTGTAAATATTTTACATAAAGGAAACAAAGAATAAGAAGTGGTTTGTCATCCCTATATGCTGAAAGAAACATAAAATTCACTGTTTTGTATCATCACAAAAGTAGCTCTTTTTAAATTAACTTTCTTAACGAACAACTACATAAAACGGTGAGAATAATATGCAATGATGTGAACCGGAAGGCCCAAAATTCTTTTCCTTTGAGATTGTCAGTAAAAATTATCATAGAATAATACGTCTAACCTTTGAAAAGTGGAATTGACTTGTGTTACTGGTGAGGAGCGTCCAGTTGATAGGATGAGACTGGTGGGGATGCCGTCCAGTTGATGGGATGTGACGTGCTGATGCCACCTAACTGATGGGACATGACTGGTGGTGGTGCTGCTCAATTCATGGGACATGACTGGTGGTGGTGCTGCTCAATTCATGGGACATGACTGGTGGTGGTGCTGCTCAATTCATGGGACATGACTGGTGGTGGTGCTGCTCAATTCATGGGACATGACTGGTGGTGGTGCTGCTCAATTCATGGGACATGACTGGTGGTGGTGCTGCTCAATTCATGGGACATGACTGGTGGTGGTGCTGCTCAATTCATGGGACATGACTGGTGGTGATGCTATTCAATTCATGGGACATGGCAGGTGTTGATCCCACCCTAATCATTGGGGGCATGTTTGATGATGACTGCATGATGATCATTGGGTTCTCAAGTGATAAGATGAGTGGTAGGATATTAGTAGTGACAAGTTCACCCAATTGATAAAATAAGACTACGGGCACACAGTGGGGTATGAACAATGATGAGCACTCATTGGGTAAGAGCAATGGGCATCAGTTGGTGAGGTATGCCTGGTGAAAGGGAGCGAGTACCCCTGTTTATAAGTATGCAACCCGTTCTCGCAAATTCGTAAAGTCAATATTGACTTATTAACTACGTGCATAGGTGATATACTAAACATAATAGATACCCTTAAAAAGATTCATAGAAAACACCGACCTTACCTAACCTTGTTAGTATCTTAAGATAAGCATCTTATTGCTTCGTAATTACAATTATTACTTAACCTATACCTATTATAGGTTAGGTAATAATTGTAATTACGAAGCAATAAGATGCTTATCTTAAGATACTAACAAGGTTAGGTAAGGTCGGTGTTTTCTATGAATCTTTTTAAGGGTATCTATTATGTTAAGTATGTCACCTATGCACATATTTAATAAGTCAATATTGACTTATTAAATTTGCGAGAACGGGTTGAAGTATGAGGTGTAGTGTGTTACGCAGAAAGATCTCAATCTATTTTGACATGAAAAACTAAACTTCTAACTTGGTTTATATGCTTATGTATTGAAGCCCAATATTATTAAAAGCAAGTGCCTTTTGACAAGTTAAAAAAAAAGCATATATTGTTATGGCACCCTATGTCAGGTCAGCATAAACTGACAGCTGGTCAAAATATAATCCAGCAGAAATGGGTTGGCCATTTGAGAGAGATTCATACTAGGATTAACGTTTACACAAACCTTCACTAATCTGCTCCGTCTTGGTGTTAGGACTGTACAAAGCCAAGCTGGATGTCTATCACGGTGAGCTCCATGCACTGTCAATATCAGTTTTATAGTAAAGTTATTAGCTGCAGATCATTAAAAGTTTCAGCTTTTAAAGACATTGGAATATTACATTAACTTTAGAAACAGTGCAAATTAGTGACCAATAGCACAGTAGTCTGAATTCTTATCAGTTGATTCTTGTTACCTTGAAGGGCAGCCCCCTTATTCTATTCTATAAGGGGGAAGTTCTTTTTTTTTTGACACAATGCTTGGACCTGTGTAAGCATTTCAATCTCAAATCATAATGGTAAATCTATATTACCTTCATTTGAAGATTCACAATAGCAAATTGGTTCCTACAGTGACATAAGCATGGCTAGTGGACTAGTTTCTACATAGAGGTCCATATTTACATTTTTAATTTATTTACATAGATAAATTTTAATGATTACAAATTGCTAAAGTTAGTGCTGCTATCAGTAATTTGAGCACTGTAGTATGAATTTAAACTAGATTTTCAGTCAAAATATGCATCTGCATAGACAAATTTGTCTTAATAGACACAATACTGACAAAAACTTAGTGATGTGTTAATGTTTTCCCCCCAATATGACCAGCGCTTTCCCAATTCTGGTTATTGCACTCATTTTACATGACATGTTGAAAGTTGGTGTGTCAATACTGCAATTTTCATGCTTCATTTGCTTTGTTATGTACTTTAATGTACAATATCTTTAGTAGTTCAAGCAGAAGGAAACTATCATTCTTTCGTACCTCATCTGAAACTACATACAGTACAGTACAAGATTCTTGAGCATTGGTTTTAGTATTGTTGGTCAGTCTTTCATTGGCAACAGCTGGTTAGCTATTAGGTTGTTGATCTTTCATGGGAAACATTTGGTTAGTAGTTAAGATATCATTGCATAGAGAACAGATGGTTAGTAATTAGAATATTTGGGACGCATTCTCTTGTGAAGCATTTGGTTAAAACTACGAAAATTACGATAATGGTGCCAACTATGTTCAGTCAGCACCTTCCAAAAGTTCAGTCAAATATACATTTCTCTATAAAACATGATTACTAAATAAACAGATGTGTTTCATAGGACTGATGAGTAATTGTAAACCTGAAGCCTCATAACAATGCTATCTGGCAAATTTTGCTATACTGTATATCCATCCTGGCTTAATGCAGTCTATGGAAAATTTCTATATTTACACTTGTCTAATAAAAAGGTTATAGACTTGAAGGGAGCTTGCAGTCTATTTAAACATGTATTAAGTGTGTTTGCACTTAAAACATTCTCTGGTAATCTATTCTGTTGTTCCACAGCCCTTGTGCTAAGGAAATTCATAGCTTTAATGTTGATCTTCATATAATAAACTATTTATTTTATATTTGGTTAAGATATCAACCGAAAATTTAAGAAGTTAGTTGCCATCTATATTAATTAAAAATCTTGAAAACTTTAGTCATGCAGTCTTCTGAATATCTCTGCAGTCATCTTGTAATAGAAAAATTCATCCAAATTTTGTTCTCTCTCTCTCTCAGTAAAGTTTAAAATTTAGTCATTAAACAGCCCTAAATGTGTATTTACATTAGAAATTGCAATGGATCACTTGATACATTTGTCTGTTGTAATATTTCTCCATCTAGTGCTTTCCAGTCGCATATTTCATAACCAATAATATGTATTTGTACTTCACACATGTCTATGTTAATGTCTATGTATTTCTTAATCTTGGTTGTTATATATCATCTTAAACACTTCTAGTAGATTTGTCAAGCTGTATGATATGCTGTATCTTGTTTTTTTTTTTTTTTACAAATATTTTTTCTTCAAACTTTCAGATATAACGATTTATGTTTATTGATAAAAAAATTTATGCACTACAGTATTTGTAATACTTGTTTGTATTGACTTTGGCAGTACAATGACAATTACACATGTTTGATTTCTGATGTCCTTGGTTTGCGCATTTCAGGACCTGGAAGATGGAGACGACGAGAATGCTACGACAGGATCTCCTGGCAAGTTTCGTGGAGGAAGAAAAGCTTGTTGTTTTTGTGGCAAGACTTTCTGTGACAATTACACTCTGCGGCGGCATATGGTGACGCATCTCTCCCGGGAACGACAATTTGAATGTCCAATGTGCAGTGCTGCGTACTCGCGCAAAGACCACCTTATGGCTCACATACGAAGAAAACATCCCATAGCAGATGATGTTGAAAAGTTAGATTTCGGTACAGGGCAAGCAAGTTAGGTTGCCCTGCCTTGTCGAAGCCCCTTAAGTTCTTTCATACATGTGTGAGTCAAGGCTAAACCACTTCAGATAATTGGAGATTATCTCAACTCGCATATTTATGAATGCACTTCCTTTGCCATTCCAAGCTGTTCAGGAGCACACCACTGTGGTAATGCACAGTGGTTCATAGTCATTATATTGCTACACCATTCTTATATGTATATTTGGAAATTTGTTGAAATATTTTTACTATGATTCCAATTTTGTTGTAAAGTTAAATTATGAAGTAGTTTACCATGGACATGGTTTTTTAAAGCCAAATCTTAGATAATATATCAAGAATACTGTTATATAAGAGGATTCTGTGTGAATGTATTCTTAAAGAATTCTGTCTTTGAGTCCATGCAATGTGATATTGAATGTTAGCATTGCAGGCTGTGTTTCATCCTAAGGATGATAGCCTCTTATGACCAATATGAAATGTTTTGCACTGTGATGGCATAACACGCATAGTGTTGTGTTTTTCATAGGAATAATTATATTATATATAATTTTTTTTTTTCAAGCAGAATACCCAGTGCAAGATTTGGGTACGATATAGACAAGTCTGTCACATAGCCTGTTGGGCCCAACAAATTGCTCTTAGGAGTAGTATTGTAGCAGACATTGTGAGTTGCAAGGACAAATTGCAGGAAACCCCATTGTGATAGCTTGCTTGGGATACATTACTATGTGCTCCAGATTCCACCTCTTGTACTCAAATACTTACAGTAACCCAGAGCCTGAAGCACAAACTCTAAAGTTGGTTTGGTCAAGTAAATCCTGTACTTAAGATTGGGCTCTGTCAAGGAGTAACTTTTCATATATATATATATATATATATATATATATATATATATATATATATATATATATATATGTATGTATGTATGTATGTATGTATGTATGTATGTATGTATGTATGTATGTATGCATGCATGCATGCATGCATATGCAGTATACATACATGCGTACACTTTCTCTGGTCAGTATCAGTACATAGAATTGGAATCTTTGTATAACTGCCCATTCTGATAGAGTTTACTTCTCCATACTCAACCTGAGAAGTCAGATTTTAGGTAAGATACAGTAGTTGTAAAAATTATTTTTTCACTTAATGAGTATAAATTGACTTATTCAGGCTTGACTTTGGCTCTCAGTTTTTGGGTGTCATGTTTTACATTTTCATACATGCTCTTTCTGTCATACTCATTCCTTGTTTTTATTCTATTATCATCCATGGGGGTGATGTGCCACAAGCTGTCATTGTTCTCTATATAGAATGTTTTTTTTATATATATATATATATCAGTTTACATCCAGTACTGCACCAAGCACACTAGAATGCATGTGGGTAATTCAGAATAATTAAGTTCACTTTTATCTGTCAGTATGTTTACCAATATACCTAATTCGGAATATGTCTAGTGCCTAGTGTATGAGCACAGTAGGTTGCAAATTCGACAGTAGAAAATACTGTGTTAACATTGGTGTGGATGGCTTGAGAAAGCTCACGGTGTAATGTGCTCATGCGTGTCAGCCAAGGTATATTTCCCAGTCATGTTTATGTTTGTCTGTCTGTGCCTTTCATGATGTGAGAAGTGTGCTATGTGCCACTTGCATTGCACTATATGCACAGCTGGGCAATACCTGAGCTTCAAATGATAATGTGGTAACACAATCTTCATTGCCTTGCATAGGCCTAGTGTGCCAAGGGTTTAGGTACCTGGGGGTAAATATCTGAAGCCTTCATCATATTTCTATTTTTTACTATGACATTTACATGATCAAGTCACTTGAACCTTCAAACTTGACTCTCTTGAAAAATATTTTTCACTTTTGAACCTTACTGCACTGTTGATGCCATAATAGGGTGCTTATTTTAAGGTTAATGGGGGAAAGACTTGTGAATTATCTACAGTTAGCATGTATATCTGGACAGATGGCTGCTGGTAGGTTTGATCAAACAGATCACAGGTGTCAAAATCTTGAATGATTAGCATCACATTATCACTTGTCAATTTTGTTTCATATGCATTTGTGATGTTATACCAAAAGGAAGTCAAATTTGCTTGCTGTTATGAAGCAATTAGAGTTTTCAAAGCAATACACACAAGTATAGTTATGCCAGATCTTATTGTCTTATTCACTGAACGTTTGGAAACAAACATTGTGAGTTGTTAAGTTTCACTATTGCCTTGACTCGAACACTGTTGCCTCTTGAATTACATTACATTAATTTATTAATTACATTACAGAATTACAGGATTTTTATCCTCTTCTAAGTCTTGTTTCTTCACTTCCTGTTTTGGTTTTTTAAACGGGTTGAAATAATCATGAAAGTTTAAACTTTGTTACAAAAGAATTCAATATCTGGCACACAATGTACTTTGGTTAAAATCAAATAAGCTGTAAAGTTTGAGGTAGTGATACACATCTGTTTCATCAACCACTAAGCTGTCCTCGATGAGTGTGAGCCAAGAGCAGTGAGAGTCACTTTCTTTGTCAATGTGTTTGGCTATAGAAAGATGCCAGTACTAGTAATGTATACACCCTGCCCTTTTTTTTTTTTCTTGATTCAGTAATAACTAATAGGTTTGATCGACAGAATAATGATAGTGGCACTCAGTGTAGTTGGGCCACACTCGACCTTTAAAGCTCAAAAAAAAAAAATATTTTCCTATGTGATTTATATACTGATAATAGTTTGCTGTAAAAACGAAATAGGAAGAGACATCCATCAAAATATTCCAAAGAGCATCTCTGCTTTATTTATGCTTCATGCTGGTTTGGAAGTGTGTGTGTATATCTGGAGTGAATGGTAATGTTGTTGTCTGCATAATCACTTAATTTAGCAAAACAAAATTGCCATAGGTGTGCGTGCACTGTCTTATTTACCAAAACTTTGTTACAATTGTCAACCCGTAGAAATTCAGAAGTATATTTGAACGTATGATGGTTGCGTGATCCATCTTGGATTTAGATATTGATGCCAGTTGGATACAAAAGCTCTTATTTTCTAATATATTTGTTTACTCTCATGTCCCACATCGTGAATGGTTTCTTATGGTTTCACATTTATTTAAAAAAGACATTATATACGTAAGTGAGGAGATATTTGTGTATGCGAGGCGAATGTGTATGCATGAGAGAGAAGAAATATAATGTGGAGGGTGTGAGATTATGTAAGGAAGCAGTATTAAGCCCCAGTTCTGTACTTTGTAACATAAAACATGTCCATAGTCAATGACATGAATGTGTGTTAACTTTAATCATTTTCCAATCATTTGTACAAGTTTTTGTTTTTGTCCAGAATCTGCTGTTGTTTGGAGAGCTCATGAAGGTGTACTTTAAAAAAAAAAAAGACATTAAATTTTAGTATAATATTTACTCTGCCAGTATGCTATAATGTGAAGGCAACACGGAGAGCTACTCTTCTAGTGCGATGCCTTTAAACCATCTTGGGTAGTTAAAGACTTATAATTTTGAAGGATTTCAGTCTTTACCTTTATGTTATCAGTGTTGTGTTATCATCAAGAAACTGGCAAATAGAGTATCACTGACAAGAATTAACTTGATGTTCAAGTCTCCAAGATGTCACATTTAAAGTTATTAGTCTTCATTGTTCTAGTTGACAACCAACATTCAACAGGGTGATGGATTGAATAATAAATACAGTACTTTGGTTAATTGGGGAATGTAGACAAAATGTATTGGTGTACATTGCTCATATCCAGAAGCAGCCAGTCTGGTACAGTACAATTTAATTCTGACTTTGTTCAGGAAGCCATATTAGTGACAGATAAGATGATGACCGCCTCAGGGATTATTTTGGAAAATGTAGTGTCTTTAGCGAATATACTCTATTCAACTAAGCCAATTTCTGTCTCCCTCTATTGGTGTAACTTTGAAATCTTGGAGAAACTTTGAATGTATCGCTATTGCATATTCTTAGAAGTGCTAATCTGATTCTATGTTTCAAAATTTGAAGTTGGTCAGTTGTATGAGTATCTGTGGGTAGTCATCTGGGTGACTCAAGAATGGTCTCCATGACAAACCTCTCGCCCACAAAACAGGACACCTTTCAATTTACACTGCTCTGAACTATCTGGCCTACTATTTCACATTATATCCTCTTATGTGTGTGTGTGTGTGGGCATGCACACATGTGAATACCTACCTAGTTGTTTTCAACTAGTTGTGCTTGCGGGGTTTGAGCTTGGGCTCTTTGATCTCGCCTCTCAACTTCAATCAACTGGTGTACAGGCTCCTGAGCCTGTTGGACTCATTTGTAACTGTGTATGGAGTCTGCCTCCACCACATCACTTCCTAATGCATTCCATATGTTAACTATTTAACTACTCTGACACTGAAAAAGTCTTTCAAATGACCGTGTGTGTGTGTGTGTGTGTGTGTGTGTATGCACGCTCGCATGTACGAATAATCGCAAAAACATGTGATAGTTATTCATCAGTATCCACAAAGAACAAGAGACAAAGAATCAAAGTTTTCTTGTATACTGTAATAATGCATTTCCAACATGTACACTCTTTGTAATACTTTATAGCACTCAGATTTTTTTCTCTCTCCTTTTGGATAATTATGTATATACAGTGCATTCATACTTTATACATACACCTACATTTAATTCTCACTCGCTCACCTCTCAATTTCCCCTCTCACCCAGCAATCACCCTGGTAAACCTCCCCTCCTCTTGTAAATACTGTACAAACATTCTCACCTTGCTACCTAATATACATTCCCATTTTCTTTTCACATTTAACACATTTGCTTGCATCTATTCTCCTCCTCCATGTCAGTTTTACAGAGATGTTACAGATGAATAAATCTTTTTCAAGGAAACACTTGATTAATGTAAACATAACAATGTTGATTTCTGTTTATCTTGAGAATTGAAATGTTATTTCCCATGGCTAGTAATCTCTTATCCTGTCACTTGTTTAGGTTAGACAGAATGGTTGTTAAATTTTACCTTTATTTAAATGTAATCAAAGTGTATCCAGTGTGAGTGTTCCTTGCATTACCAGCTCTCTCCGTGACAATCTCTGGACGGTGCTTTTATAAAAGGTGACTTTTGTTGAGATGTTTACTGCTTCGTCTGATCACTAAGCAAAATTTGATTAAATTATAGCAGCAACAAAAGACGTAATTGTCATGCAATTTGTTCGCAGTTTATTTTTTCTTGGTATTGGAAAATTGTGTACAGTATTTAGTTATTTGCACACTTTTAAAGAGTAGCAGCTTTTAAATATGGTTGTTGTGTTAGAGGGTCTCTCCAAGCACCACCTGGCTAGCCTTGTTTTTTCACTAGATGATGCCTCAAAGTCCTGAGCTAGATGCATTCTTATTCATCTTCCTTAGAAGACTCCTTGTAATTATCAAGAATTGTACAAAGTCATATTTAGTAGAATATTATGAATTACTATTAAATAAATCAAAATCGAATTGTAAGACTTTTTCTTGTAACGCTTATATTGAGCACAGTGCCATACTAGTAGTTTCTGTGGGAGTAACCTCCAAGCCATGAACACTGGGCATCATAGCACAGCTCCCATAAGTTATAGGCTCCTCATAAAAAGTTAATTTCATTCACGTGAAGTGGAAATTTCAGTGATAAACATGCAGGCTGTTTACAAGATAATGGAATTGGTATCAATGCACTACAGAAAGTGAGGTCCTGGTTATTACAGTGTTTAACAATTTTATTTCCATTGGCAAAATTGACAAAAAACTATCTTACATTAAAATTGTGTATGTTTATCAGCAATAGAGCTTAGAATGGTATAATTTTGTTTTTATACATAAAAAAATTGCCAGTAGTTGACTAGATTGTATTTGTGATGCAAAACTTTTATCAGGGAATCTTAGGTATGTAACATGAATCAAAAGACCTATATTGCCACTCTTAGCAAATGGGGAAATCCTTTTATAACTATACAACATTTTTGTATACTTGCATTTTATTGGATTTCCCATTCTTTAAAAATTAAAGCATACACCAGAAATTGTTGCAGAGAGAGGGAAATACTGTGTTAACTTAAATTGGGCTGATTTGTGCCTCACAGCCTGACAGGTGTGATGTCTCGGGGCAGATCAACCGGGGGACCACCATCTCTGTGCCTACTGATGCAACCGATGTAGTCATTGTCATTTAGTCTTTCTATATGTTGATAGTCATTTATTTCCAAATCAATAAATCTTTATTGAAGTGTGTAATACCTCTTTAAATGATGAAATCATTCCTTGTCTTAGATAAAATACAGTACATGCTAAGCAACATAATGGGTGTAGACAATTTTAGCATTCATTTTGCTTGAAAACATTTAAATTGTTGAAAATACATTATGGATTTTAGTGACAAAATTATAGTCATGTGCTGAAAAAGTATTTTATTCATGCAAGACATTTATTACTTTGTTTTAAGAAACATAGGGAAAGACCCAGTGTTGATGTCACTGTTGGCAATGGCTGATTCGGTCTCCGACCTTTTTTCTCTGGTCCTCCGTTGGTCATATACTCTATGATGTATATTTCATTTGACATATTTATAAATTGTACAGAAGGTATATTAATACATCACCTTGTATTTATGAGTTGTACAGACATGTATTTCATTCACCCTATGGGATGGGTGATCCGAATTAGTTATATGTTTTCCTGTTATCAAATATATGAGTGTGGCCTGATCCAGTTTTCAGTACCTTGCATTCTTTTGTACTGTCTAGGCTCCACTCTTTGTAGTTTAAGCTTTCTATGTAATAAAAGTTCCAACAGAGGAATGTTAATTTCAAGCTAATATTGATTTTCCATTTCTTTGTGTAGAATAGACTACAGAAAAGTGAATTGCCCACTTAATAAATGCTTATTAATAATGATAAAAATACTTCATGGAGTAGTATAAGATGAAAGGCGTGAAAAATGATACAAGGTACGAGTTTCTGCAAGGTGGCTGTGAAGTATTAATTAATATACATTAATGTCTATGGGAAGCTACTAGTTTCCAAGTACAGTGGATATGTATTTAGAGGTGTTCAACTTGTATTACCAAAGTGCATGACTAAATAAGTCATTCACATCTGCTGGTTTTTTGACAATTTATTATAAGGTTTATTTGTAAAATATACACAGGAACATATTGCAATGATAACTTAGTAGGTACAGCATATTATATAAAGCCATTAATTGTGCACAGTATTTTGGACAATACGGAGAACCAGGACAGTGAAGACTACTTGGAAACTAAATAAGCTCCTAAGCTACATAGGCACAAATACCATAATTGTTATCCTCTTTTTCAGGATCTCAAGAAATCCATTTCTGAAAACTATACATATTACAAATAGGGCATTCAGCCCTTGCACATCTTGGTGTTCTTGCAAGTGACATCGTTCCTATTTGTAGCAATTAACATAAGTCCTATCATTGCCTCCTTGCAGTGCTTCTTGGGATATGCTAGCAAATGCAACACACCCAAATAAATAATGGACACAGCATTGCATAACCTAACCAGTTCCAGCATCTAGTGGCAGTGCTGTATAATCTACTTTAGTGCTTCACCATGAGCTTAAATTTGATTGTGTAATTCCAGTACCTCTTCTGAGACCAAAATACCAAAAATAACATAACACTCATGCATAACATCACAGTTTTAACTCATCACAACTTCTCAAGCTAGATCTGAGCAAATCTACTTAGATGGTGAAGAGGAAAAGTTTATGTTTAGTGGTTATCAGGGAGGAAGATATTAAATATCTATAAGAGTTCGATAATCCGAATTCTGTAACCTAAATCTTCAAGTGACCCAAACGAATTAGAGTTCAAGTTCTTGACTTTAATTTAAATAGAAATTCAAATTACCTGTACTGTACTGCATTTTGCTCTTGGGTTACTGAATGGCATACAATGACCTGTGTTCATAACACAGTTTACATTAACAAAATATAAGAATATAACATCTGATATTATAAAAAAAAAAATAATTTACTTAAAAACTGTGAGCACAGGCATTATAGTGCGTATCCCTGCTAAAATAGGAGACTTTGTCTAGTAACCCATGTAAGTACCCTAGGTAGACCTGCCCCAACTCTGTGAATCTACCCAGTCATATATTCTTTTATGCATGATTCTGTATAGTGTCAATCTTTTACTGAAATATTTTCTTTCTTAATTTTTTCTTTAATAGGAACTTGGTTAATATTTTGCTATGACCATCCCTGGTAGCAGCAGCATTCATTGTGGAGGTGTTAAGAGGAAGCAAGTTATGCTACACATTAAAGATAAGCTACGATGGATTTAACTTTGTGAAAATTGCCGTTCCACTGCGAGTGTTGTTAAGGATTTTGTGATAGGTCCATGTACTGTCTGTGATAGAAGGAAAAAAAGATAAATACTGTACATATCTACTAGTGAGAGTGAGGGAGCAAGCACTAGTAGAGATCATAAAAGATGCAATTGAAGAAAAGCAGCAAGTCAAACTCCATTCTTACTGGGAAGGAACAAAAGGCCAAAAACTTTTGACAGACGAAGTCTCAGCAGCTGGGAGTCAAAGTTGACCATCCCAAGCACAGTAATTGTATGGTTGTGTTAGATAAGGTCAATGATTATCATCAAAGTCCTTCACTGGTCAAGTAGACGAACTCCATCAAGGTAAGTTTAAATCTCTGCTATTGTTATTAAGATGATGATGATCTTTCTCTAACCATGTAAATTTATGTTTAATGTATGTGGAAATAAGAATTATGTTGGTTGTAATACAAAAAATAGAGAATTTGGTAATTTTTTTACATTTTAATAATAAATTTACCCAAGTCAAATGTTTGGGTGATTTCACTTGGGGTGGACTGAACTGGGAGTGATGTGGACCCCATATTAGCTCTTTGTTCATTTATTTTCATCAACTGTGTTGTTCATCCAGTTGTTTGACTTTTCAGTTTTGTTTCCAAATTGAATTGCTTTACATTTATCTGAATTTTAAATTATTTACCTTCATTAGACTTCAATTTAATTTAATCCTTCAATTTAAAATATATTTAAATTGGCTTATAGTTTTTGTCACTGGTGCTGTAACTTAGCATAAGCCATTATTGCTGTCATTTATTTAAATCAAGAATAAGACTGGTCCCAAGACTAGTCTTGTACCACTGCCCCGCTCCTGTGCCAGGTAAGTCCACAACGAGCTCACCATAGCCCGTGCTACTTGGAACTTGTTCCGAGTAGCTGAATCTATAACAACATAATCTTGTACTTGTGACCAGGAGTGTGCAGAACCACTTGTACAGTTGTCTACTTGGGACCACTGTACATCTATCCACTAGGGACCACTTTACGGCTATCCCCTTGGGACCACTGTACAGCTGTCCACTTGGGACCACTGTACATCTATCCACTAGGGACCACTTTACGGCTATCCACTTGGGACCACTGTACAGCTGTCCACTTGGGACCACTGTACATCTATCCACTAGGGACCACTGTACATCTATCCACTTGGGACCACTGTATGGCTATCCACCTGGGACCACTGTATGGCTATCCACCTGGGACCACTGTACAGCTGTCCACTTGGGACCACTGTACATCTATCCACTAGGGACCACTTTACGGGTGTCCACTTGGGACCACTGTACGGCTATCCGCTTGGGACCACTGTACGGCTATCCACTTGGGACCACTGTACATCTATCCACTTGGGACCACTGTATGGCTATCCACCTGGGACCACTGTATGGCTATCCACCTGGCACTACTGTACGGCTATCCACCTGGCACCACTGTACGGCTATCCACTTGGGACCACTGTACGGCTATCCACTTGGGACCACTGTATGGGACCACTGTACGGCTATCCACTTGGGACCACTGTACGGCTATCCACTTGGGACCACTGTATGGGACCACTGTACGGCTATCCACTTGGGACCACTGTACAGCTATCCAATCTGAAACAGTTCCATTTAGAACTACCATACACGTTCTCATTAAGATAACCTATTTCCAAATCAATATTTGACATGAAATGTATAGTATGTGGAAAGACCGGGTCACACACTAGCACTACATCTACTACTGTCTAGAAACTGAACTGTTTAAAGAACCACTACTGTTAATAATAGAATACAGTACACCTGAAATATCTGCACTGACTTCAAAAGTTTTTTTCTTAATGATTGATATTAACATTACAAATAAGTAAAGGGTGCACAATAAACTACTCACAGGATGAGTATGGGATACACAGTAAACTATTGCAAACAAAATGAGTTCGGTTGTGCAATAAACTACTGCTCACAGGATGAGTATGGGAAACAATAAACTACTGCTCACAGGATGAGTATGGGAAACAATAAACTACTGCTCACAGGATGAGTATGGGAAACAATAAACTACTGCTCACAGGATGAGTATGGGAAACAATAAACTACTGCTCACAGGATGAGTATGGGATACACAATAAACTACCGTTCACAAGATGAGTATGGGATACATACAATAAACTACCATTCACAAGATGAGTATGGGATACATAATAAACTACCATTCACAAGATGAGTATGGGATACACACAATAAACTACCATTCACAAGATGAGTATGGGATACACACAATAAACTACCATTCACAAGATGAGTATGGGATACATAATAAACTACCATTCACAAGATGAGTATGGGATATACACAATAAACTACCATTCACAAGATGAGTATGGGATACACAATAAACTACCGTTCGCAAGATGAGTATGGGATATACACAATAAACTACCATTCACAAGATGAGTATGGGATACACAATAAACTACCGTTCGCAAGATGAGTATGGGATATACACAATAAACTACCATTCACAAGATGAGTATGGGTTACACACAATAAACTACCATTCACAAGATTGACGATTCTTCGCGGCAGGGGATCGTATTCCAGGGACCATAGGATTAAGGACTTGCCCGAAACGCTACGCGTAATAGTGGCTGTACAAGAATGTAACAACTCTTGTATATATCTCAAAAAAAAAATGAGTATGGGATATACACAATAAACTACCGTTCACAAGATGAGTATGGGATATACAATTTAACTACCACTCACAGGATATGCTGTAAAGTCATGTTACCCAAAAGGGGTAAGAAAGGCTTTAACTAAAACCTGCTAACATTATAGAACTTTACTGACCTAAACATAAGATCGATTTAACTGGTTTTGAGACAAGATAGGTTATTAAATTAAATTTTAGTTAACTATTTTTGTTTTGACAGCATTTTTGTCGAGAGGGACAGAGTTATCTATTATATTAAGTCGTATACACGATTTTGCTAAATACTGGGGGTCATAAGGCATCTAATGTCAGGCTCACATTGTCCAGTTCTTAAATTCCTGGTCATGCAGCGTCCTTGGCACGGCCTAAAAGGCACTGCTATTGAAATTCTCACATCCTGGGCCGTCGGAGTGGCTGGTACACTCTGTGGGACAGGCTGGAGTGTACTCGTAGCAGGCACTGACGTACCCAGTGTGAGCGGGCTTGGAGTAGGGTCTGGGAAACTCAGGACAGGCCGGGAGATACCCAGTGAGAGGGGGCTTCGTCCAGGCTGGAAGACATTTTGGGCAGGCCGGGAGATACCCGGTGGGAGAGGGCTTCGGCCTGGCTGGAAGGCATTTTGGGCAGGCTGGAAGACATTCTGAACAGGTCGGAAGATACCCGATGGGATAGGGCTTCGGCCAGGTTGGAAAACATTTTGCACAGGCTGGAATACATTCTGAGCAGGCCGGGAGATACCCGGTGGAACAGGGCTTCGGCCAGGCTGGAAGACATTCTGGGCAGGCTGGAATGCATTCTGAGTAGGCTGAAAAACATTCTGGACAGACAGGGTTGTGATACCCAATAAGACAGGATCTGGAGTAGGTCGAGAGACACTTGCTGAAAGGAACGAGGATGAATCGGCTGTCGAATTAAGCTGTAGCGCCTGAGTAGTTCGAGCTTCTGGGAGAAGCAAGTCTGAAGAAAGCGATGATGAATCTGCTACCGAATTAGATTGTTGTGCCTGGATAGTCTGAACATCTGGGAGAGCTGGATTTCCGTCATCGTCATCGTCTGCACGACGTCTGGTTCTGAGGGCGGGCTGGTGAGGATTCTGCACCTCAGCTGTGAGATCCCTCGTGCTCCTGCCCTCCACCGGGGCCATGATGCCTAGACTCACAGCCGCCAACACTACCACCACCGCCGTCACATCGACACGCCTCATCATCCCACGCTGCAACAAACATTAATTTACATTTTCGTGTAGATACTTAATGGGTAAATAACCTGTCTCATTAATATTCCATCGACGCCCATCTGATGAGTGTGGCATACATGATTAAAAAATATGCAACTGGTTCACCACAAATGTAAATTTCTTGCCTTAGAAATGGTTGTGGTCGTTTTTGAACCGATTATGTTATAAACGACTATTTATATATACCATAAACTGTGTAACTAGTTTATCAAGACTGCTATACTTGCTTTGCTAAATGAATTTTGGGGTATAGTTGTAGATATAGTATATATAGCCCATCATGCACGTGCATCTGAAACTTTTCCATCACCGCCTACGAATGGGTATGGGGTCTACTACCGCCCACGGGATGAGTATGGGGTCTACTACCGCTCACGGGATGGGTATGGGGTTTACTACCGCCCACGGGATGAGTATGGGGTTTACTACCGCCCACGGGATGAGTATGGGGTCTACTACCGCTCACGGGATGGGTATGGGGTTTACTACCGCCCACGGGATGAGTATGGGGTCTACTACCGCCCACGGGATGAGTATGGGGTCTACTACCGCTCACGGGATGGGTATGGGGTCTACTACCGCTCACGGGATGGGTATGGGGTTTACTACCGCCCACGGGATGAGTATGGGGTCTACTACCGCCCACGGGATGAGTATGGGGTCTACTACCGCTCACGGGATGGGTATGGGGTCTACTACCGCCCACGGGATGGGTATGGTGGGGGTCCATTACAGCCCACAAGATGAGGAGTACATAATGAGTTAACAAATTGCCATTTCAGTTACACATTGAAATCTATATTTTCTTTCGGTCTTTATGGCAGAAAAATTGTGTGGTACTCTAACCTAGTTATGTTGCTGCGTCTCTATTTGAGTGTACTCTCTCTCTCTCGATCAGTCCAGACTTGGAAGTCGTAAGTCTGGTGCGCGTACAGTAGTCACGTGCGCGAGAATGGTGTTGTGTTGATTTAGGGGCGACGACGATCGTGGGATCGGATGCGCCCAAACGAGAATGGTGTTAGAGGCACTTAAAGTGTACACAGTGCTTGATCACACTGACAACTGAAGGGTTTGGCTGCCACGTTAACGTCGGCTTCGTTCAAGGGCAAGTCAGCCACCGTCCGGACGGGGTCATCAACTTTTTCACCTGACATCCTACATTCATCTCTGCAACAATATGCTCTAATTCCATGAAAATGGTGGCAAAATGTTATTTTTATTTGTTTTCCTAGCTCAGATAAGATATAGACGTAGGTAAGGATAATCCCACATTCAATATGGGGTGCTGGTAGAGGCGCAGGTAGCCTGGCATATCGGACGATATGCCAGGCTACCTGCTACGATAGGTTCCTGCTTGGGAACCAAGCAGTTCCTCATCAGCAGGAAGAGGAAGTCAGACAGCTCCCTCACTGTGTGTGAGGCCGCCGGGTCCTTCATGGTTGCTTATGGCAGAATGAACTGGATAACTCATAGATTCAAATCTGTGACCAACATATAGAGGGATAAGCAACTCTAAGAGACTAATTTGCATGTAGTGCAAGCTTAAGTATGTACGCTGTCTACATATTTAACCTAAGACCCCACCTCTACCGCGTAACGTGGTGGAGGTGGGGGTCCCTCGATTGTTTCAAGCGCGGGTTGGACAAGTATATGAGTGGGATTGGGTGGTTATAGATAGGAGCTGCCTCGTATGGGCCAATAGGCCTTCTGCAGTTACCCTTGTTCCTATGTTCTTATGTTATCTACAATATACAAGCATTAGATACATCAAGGTTTTTGGGGAAATATGTCATCCCAGATAAAATGCATGCACATTATAGTAAGAGAGTTAATTGTCTAAATTTTTGGATTTTTTGAACTTTCAATTACATAGTGACGTAAGGTATGTGAATAGTGTTATTGCAACATTTGCATAGCTGGTTATGGGGTCCATTAACCGCCGATTCACCACTGCCCACAAGTTGATTATATGAGGTCCACCACCGCGTACCGGGTGGGTACAGGTCCAAAATAAACTAATTAAACTAAATTAAAAAAGAAAATTAGTGCCGCATTCTATTTGCTGTACACATTTATTTTACTACATATTTGTCTGTGTAATGTGATATACACAGTACACATACTGTGAACTGTATATGTGTGTGTGTATTGATCGATTAAAATTTATATATATATATATATATATATATATATATATATATATATATATATATATATATATATATATATATATATATATATATATATATATATATATATATATATATATATATATATATGAGTATGAAACCTCTTTATATTTGTGAAAAGAAAACATAATTTATATCCTAACTTTATTTTATCTATTCACGTAAACAAACTGTTGGAAAGCTACAAGTGTGGGTAGCGTACATCTGAAATAATTGATTAAATGATTAATATACAAATTAATAAAATGTTTAGGAAATATTCCAGAAAACTTTGAAAAGGTCACGTACAAGTCATGTCGCTATACTTGTACGCATCTTGGGGTAATTCAGTATGGTTACAGCCCCGTTCCTGTGTCAGGTAAGTAAGTCTGCTACGGGCTCACCATAGCCGGTGCTACTTGGAACTTTTTGTTCAGAGTAGCTGAATCTTAAACAACAACGTAGGTCAGTATATAATTAGTCGGAGAGGCATCAGGCTTTTTCACGGGAGACATCTCCCGTCACGCAAGGTGCAGTCGCACCTCGACAGATCTCGTATCAGTTCTTGATACTGGTAATGGCTCAAAAGGGCCACCACTTACGGGCTATTCATGCCTGTGCCACCTTTTGTGTGGCTTAAATCTTCATCATCAGGCTTCCACTCTCCAACTACGGTTCGTTACACCTAAGACAAAAACGTCGTAGTGTTATCATGGCACAAAATGCCAGACGAGAGGTGGAGAAAGACGTAATAACTCAACATGACAATAGTCTCATTATTGTTGTTCTTGGTATTTTGTTAGTGGAATTCAAAGTATAGGACGTTTCTTCAGCATCGTCCCCAGCGCTGAAGTGGCCTCATTAGCCTGATGATGTCTTAAGCATCACAATGCAGTTTATTTTAGAAATATAAAAAAGTGACGCCTTACCTCTGCTAGACACATTAATAATTAAAAAATAGGGTCATATTGAAGTTCAAACTCTTAAATAAAACAGACGAGGGTCAAACAGACTACTAGCACGCATAGCGTTTCGGGCAGGTCATTGATCCTAATATTCCTCGGAATACTACCCGCCAAATCGTTTAACAACCAGGTAAACATTATACTGTTGGGTAAACAGAGGCTACAGTTAAGGATTGGTGCCCAGTAAGTCCTCTCCGGCCAGTATATGAACCCAGGCCAAAGCCTCGCGGAACGCCAGGGGAGTGTCTTAAAAAGTCAGCTACTCTGAACAAAAGTTCCAAGTACCACTGGCTATGGTGCAGCCCGTCCGCCAAACAAAAACCTAAAAGTGATTCCATGCACCCACTAAACCCCCTGTTTATGAATGAAAACCGGTTTATACACGACTCACAACTGATTTTATTCGAACACCTCCGGAACGAGTGCTTCACTGACGCATTTTGTTCGAACCGCAGCGCTATAAATGCTTCACCCACGTACTACAAATACAAATAATCGCCATCAGAACCTAAACACCTAACCTATGCTTATATATGCGCAATATGCTAATATATTATATTAATTTATATCTGAGAAAATTCCCGTTTTGAATGAACAACTTGAACAAATTTATGAATGCGTCTGTGGGGTCGACCGCTGGATGTAATGGACTTGAGTCGACGACAGGTTGTATGGTGAGCCCGTAGGGAAACTGCTTTTACTGACAACAACCTTTAGATTCACACAAACAAAAAACTACAGCCAGGAAAGGCGAGAGGTGAGACTAAGGCAGACACAGGCACCTTAGAGACTGGTGCACCAGCTTCCGAGCCCCACGACCTGCTCCACTTTAAACAGGATTAAACAGGAAGCAAGAAGGAATTTTATACCAAATTATACTACATTGTGTATCATTTTCGCTGCGCTGGAGGGCAGCCTCTTGACCTAGATAATAATAATAATAATAACAATTCCTTGCAATAATAATGAATAACAGTATTTTGTATTTATAAATATATTACAGTAGGCTATTACAAGGGTTACATAGGAGGTATTTGTATTTCGTATGAAGCCACAATTCACGCGTATATGTGTTTCAGACAAACCTTAAGCGTGAGATAGGAATACTAGATGAACTTATAGCTAGTTTTTTTTATCTACATTGTGTAATCCTTCATATAGAATAGAGTAGCAGCACATTACTCTGTATACCTAAGCTTGTTAATATAATAAACAAATAAGCTTAACGGTGTGGGATTTGTCATTATAATTTAGGGAATGCTATGAGATGTATTGTGCACCCCATACTCATCCTGTGAGCGGTAGTGTACTGTGCACCCAGTACACAATAAACAAGAATTCACCGGATGATTATGGGGTGTACAATAAGTAAGTAATTATCAAAAAGAAGACACCAAACCGGAAAGGTTAAGGGGGGGGGGGGGGGTGCACAATAAATTATCTTTCACAGGATGATTATGTGGTTCACAATAAACTATTGTTCACATGATTATTATAGGGTGCACAATAAACTATCGTTCACAGGATGATTATGCGGTGCACAATAAATTATCGCTCACAAGATGAGTATGAAGTGCACAATAAACTATCGCTCACGGGATGAGTATGGGGTGCACAATAAACTTCTTACAGGCTGAATATAGGTACATATACCTATATTACCGTCACGTATTAAGAACTTTCGTGGTTATTGGACAGTCCTATAATAGGCCCTTATAGTATAATTCTGAGGGCTAATATATATATAGTATAATAAATCTGGTTCCTGGATGATGGCACTCTGGCAGGCACACGACTCCCTGCTGGAAGACCTGCAGCTGGTAAAGTCACGGGGGGAGTCCATGGGTCTCGTTCTTAATCCTTCCAAGTGCGAAATTATTTTATTCAGTGAGGTAATCATTAATGCAGTGAAATCAGTTACACCAGAATCCTCAGTCATTGAACCCACTGACAGCACACTACTTGGAGCACCTCTGGGCAACAATGCCATTGCTGCAGTACGCGAAGAAAAGTGCGAACGATCTGAAGAGGATGGAAGAGAGAAAGGGGACTTGGACTTCCATGATGCCCTCTATCTTCTCACAAAGTGCCTTACCTTACCCAGGTTAACGTACTCTTTAAGGTGTGCGCCCACTTTTGGTAACCCACTACTAAGTCAATATGATGAGCTCCTCAAGTCAATATTTAGCAAGGCATTCAACCTAGATTTAAATGACAGTCATTGGGACCAAGCAACACTACCATTGAAATTTGGGGGATAGGCACACGAAAGGCAACTGAGGTATAGCACTTCCAACATTCTTATCCTCATGCAAGCACAGCAGCCAAAGAATTAGTAGAGAAGATCCTATCATAGCGTATGAGAAACCCAGTGGAAACTCACGATGAAAAGTTCATCAAAGCAGCTAGTTAATGGGAAACCATTGCACACCCTCTACCCTGACCAACAGACCCACAAGGCCACAAGCAGGCCCACTGGGATAGCCCCATAATGGAAAAGACTGCCACAACAATGCTTGAAAACGCAGATGCTGAGAACAAAGCTCGCATCCTAGCAGTAACAGCAGCCCAAGTCAGGGATTTTTTATTTGCTGTGCCCAATGCAGCCCTTGGAACTCTTCTCAATTATGACACTCTCAAATTTGGAGTTGCCCTTCGCCTTGCCGCCCCCATCCTCACTAAACATTGGTGCATCTGCGGGATCGCGATGCCAGATCAATATGGTCGTCATGGTCTGGTATGTCGTAAATCACAGGGTAAGAGTGCAAGACATGACGAAGTATGCACAACATACCAGGGGCCACACTGTAGAAGAGAAAACTGGAAATGCTTTTTCACCCCACAGGGTTATAGACCCATGGAATTGGCTATCCGCCGATGCCGTAAATTAAATGGCCAAACATTGCTGCAGTTCAATATCCAGCTGGATAAAATCATCAGGAAAAATGGGAGAACCTTTGACAAGTCTGATAATACCTGACCAACCAGACTGTGATTCATACGCCAGGGTACGTGCGAGCAGCCCCGTCCAACAGCCTGGTTGACCAAACGACCAACCGGGCCGGAGTCGGAGACGGGGCCGCAGGACTAAAGTAGCCGCACAAAGTAGGTAGCCTCCGGCTTCCTGTCCTCGTCGATGCCATATAGGGAGATAGTGGAACTCGGGTAAATTCAGGTAAGACAATGGTGCATAGTTTTAGTTATTCTAATATATGCACCGTACTCACCTAGTTGTGCTTGCGGGGGTTGAGCTTCGGCTTTTTGGTCCTGAAAGGATTCCTGACCGTATTAGAGGCTGTATCTTAGTTCAAGTTCAAGTTCAAGTATGTTTATTGAGACAAGAAAGAAACACATCTCAAAGGGATAGAATAGCTAAGGCTATTTCTACCCCCCTGTATCCTAGTACAATTCTGAGAGCCTTGACAATGATGAGGCACTTGATAACCCCATATAACAGCTGGGCTTTCTGTCCCTAATAACATGAAACCATTACCCTGACTCGTTTAATAACGAGCCATTATAACGGACTCGTTACCCCAATACCTGAAAGCTTGGATTACCAGGATTCAGAACTCTAATTCCCCAGGCGGGTGCGGACCGCGGCTCCTGCTAAACGCGGCTCTCCCAGCTCCAGCTGACGCCACCATAACAACGACACTCGCGAAGACCATCACCACCACTACGACCCCTCTAACGATCATGACTGCGATCGCTGTAATGACCATGATAGCTTCACGCAAGATAGTGACATGACAGGATTTATACAGTAGCTATTTGTTATAGCCCTATAACCTGCCATCACGGGGCTGGCGGCGTCTTCGTCTCCCGTTACTGCTCTGCCTGCCGCGCAACACACCTCGTGCCTAAGAAATGTACATATTTTGTTAAACCGTAGTTTTTTACCAATTTTGTTACACATTCCGTAGTTTTTTTTACCAATTTTGTTAGACATTCTGTAGTTTTTACCAGCGGGGGCCGCTTTAAACAGTGGGCAACAATACCTCATGGGCCAACTACTTTGCCCGAGACAGAGATGCCTATTATCAACCCATTTGTTTAAATACATCTATAGATATTGTATCTACAGTGCATTTTTTATAGGTAAGCTTTATCTCTGAATTCGTACCCTAAGTTTTCCTTAAGGTTTTAAGTTTTGTAATACCAAGTATGCTAAAAGCTCTAGGTTTAGTGACCGAAGACCAGTGACCAACTTCTGGTGCATCAAATACAAAAGTGAGCTACAACAGTAATATCTTGAAGAGTAGGGCAAAGATCTTACTTTGAAACTAACACTGAAATTTAGGGTACTATAAGCATGAGAAAGGCAATGAACCAGCCAAAATTGCCAAGTATGAGGTGCTCTGCAAGTGAAAATTATGACAATTTTAAAGAGTAAATGTTCATTGGCAAGGATGAACACTTCTATTCCATTTTTCAATATCCTCGGCTATCTTGTGAAATGGACTACCACCTTGCCAATATACAGTGGTACCTCGGCTTACGAATTTAATCCTTTCCCAGAGACGGTTCGTAAGCCAAAAATTTGTATCCGAATTTTCAGATACTGAAATAACTGAAGCGAATTTTCCCATAAGAATTAATGTAAATTGAATTAATCCGTGCCACACTTCCCAAAAAATTACCTTCAAAGTAAATTTTATACCTATTTCACCCAAATCTTTAATACTAAAGATTGTGTACAAGTTATTGCTTAGCTTTATTGATGACTCTTATTGGCGTATGGAAGACGGTAAGGCGGGTGCGAGGAGGAAAGGTGTTTGTGTTTGGAAGGGGAGTCCCCTTCCATTATAATATCAGGCAGTGATGACTTCTCTGGGGTACACACTCTGGCACGTTTTGCCTGCATACCACTAGGACCTGCTTGTGGCTCACTGCTTTTTTTCTTAACACTTATCTGAAGTGAGACATCACATTGTCATTAAAAAGATTAACACAATGACCTACCACAGCTTGCTCTGGGTGAATTAATAACAACTTTACAACATCCTCAAGTGTTTGTGTGTTCTTTGTTTCATGATAGTTGATGTGTCTTTTGCCACTTTATCACTCATAATGTCCTTTTTCTTGGCAATTACACTGCATATCGTTGACATATCTTTGTTGTACTGCCTAGCTAGTCCAACAACCCGTGTATCATTTTCATGTTTACGAATGATCTCTTGTTTTCCTCTATGGTCATTCTCACGTGTGTTTTCTTGGCTTGAACCTTACCACTGGCTTTCTTGGGGCCCATGGGCTCATATAATAACAAGTTTTATGTTCAGATAACAAAAAATCCCCAAAAATTGAAATTCTTTACAGAGAATTCAGGCGCGATAGTCACTAGGCGGGAGGCACTGGTAAATTGAGGCGCGATCGCCGTGCCGCCACGCACTAGGTCAGCCATGTGCATATCAACAAACTTTGTTTCCCGACGCGAAGTTCGTAATCCGATTCGAATTTCACGAAGAAATTGGGCTCGTAACCTGAAAAGTTCGTTAAGAGGGGCATTCGTAAGCCGAGGTACCATTGTATTTAGTTTTTCAATAACTATAGATCAAGTATAGAATTAACAGCCCGTCCTCCAAAAATGGGGTGGTAAATGTAAGGAGACAAATAAGTGCAATTATGTACTATTCATAGCAGTTAGGAATTGTACTTATTTTCACTTAGTATTAAATCGTACTGTCAAATATATTGTGAATATTTGAGTTTACCCCAAAAACTGAATAGAAAACCACACCCTCACCTAACCGTCTTAGTTTTTTAAGATAATAATTTTATTGCTTCTTAATTACAATTAGTACTTAACCTATAGCTATATTGATATTACAGTTTTATAAAAGTAATAAAACAAAACTAAAATATATCAATAAATTGTAAAATAACTCAGGATATTTTAAAATTTTGTATAAAATCTATATTGTTTAATAAACCAGAAAAAAAATTTCTTGATATTTAAAACTTGTGTATTGCAAATTGAAATTGAAAATTTCATCCTAAAATTCTGTATGTCTTAACAGAAAACGAGGGGAATTAAATCCGGGGAGGGAGTTGGGTAAATGTAACAGCCCCATAAGTGCAATTATGCACTGGTTATGACAGTTAGAAAGTGTACTTATTACACTTAGTATTAAATCGTACTGTCAATTCGGAGGATGGGTTGAGAATTAAAGTTTTTTGCCGACTCTTGTTTGTATTTTTTAAAAGCTAATAAATTGATGAGTTGCAAACTCTGCTTTTGACCTACTATATTTGGTTTCAAATAGTCAAGACAAGAAGCCTGTTAGGCTATTAACCTTTCTCCATGATGCATCCCACAACAGTTCCCTAACTCCCAGGTACCTGGGAGTACCTGTTTGCTACTTACTGTTTACTGCTAGGTGACCAGCAGTATCAGGTGAAAGGAAATATTACCCAAACTTTTTCCAGTCTGCTGCACAATGGAAAATTGCAGAATCAGTTTCCCCTATGCCCAACTTGCTGACAGGCATTATATCTTTATATATATGAGAGAGAATATCTGTTTATCAGTTTGTTTGTTCAAGCTTGAAGGCCAGATGCTTGGTTCTAGCCTCGCCCAACTTTCACCTCGCCCAACTTTCACACATGATGTGTGTGGGGTATGGGAATGTAGTAGTCCACTTGGGGTCAGCTTAATGCCACACTTTTAAGAAATAATGACATCTAATCCAATCCCCCATTGTGATTTCATGAAGTAAAGTCTGAAATATTGGTTGTGTTGTCTTTAGACTTATTCAGTTCTTTGTTGTTTAAATTTTGTCAGAGAGAAAAGAGGGAGGAGATGTGAGAAGGAAGAAGGATTGAGAGGGAGATGTTTGAAGAGAGAGGAAGGAGAGGGGGAGAAAGGTGGAGAGAGAGATGAGAGAGGGGAGAAGGGAGGAAGAGAGACCCAGCCTCGGCCAGGTACCCACGCTAGTTAGTCTGTATGTTGTCAAGAGTTGAAGTTAATTTTGTTAGTGATTACAGTAGGTTTAGTGGTGGTGGGATTATGAACACAGGAGTACATACTGTACAGTTACTAAGGATTATTTTGTCATATCTTTACTGAAATAATTGTCCACCTTGCAAATCTGAAACTTCTTAATTCATTTGGCTATTGTATTTCATTTGCTTCTCTTTACAGATGGCGCTACGACAGTATTTACAGAATGGAAAGCTGATTTTATCAGCCAGCAAACGCCATGGATGTTCACTTCAAACATGCCACATGGTGAAATGTCATCCTTCAATTAATACATTAAATATGAGTTTTTCTGTTAAAAGATTTATAACACATTTTTCTTCACAGTTGTTCAGTAGAACTGTGGTATTAAGAAACTTTCTGGAAATGCAAAGATGTAGTTATTCAAATATATCAGGAATAAATTGCAGTAGTAAAGAATTAGATGATTTTGATAATGGTGAAGGAGAGAATCATAAGAGTAATGCTCAACTTGATGACATATTCATAAATAAAGCACAAATGTCAAGCACAGAGTGGGAAGATGTGATTGACCTTGCCTCTCATTTGAAATACCAAATTAGTGAAAAGAGCTGTGATGCTATCATGATGGGAAAGTGCCAAACACATTGCAATTATCTTCTTGCAAATTCCTACTTGGACCACATAGAGAGACGGGGGCGAGAGCCCAACTTGGCAACTCTTGGGACATACCTGCAGCTATGTGGGGAGGCAGTGGACCAGTGTGGGGAGGAGAAGGTACTGGAGGTCTACCAAAAGCTCACTAGTCAAGTTAAGGTGAGTTCTTGTTAATATGTAAAATGCAGTGCTGTATTGCAGATAATGGTACCTGTGGCTTTCTTTATACAGTACCAAAGTTCTTATTTTTTTTATCCGAGGATACTTTTTTACCCCATCCAAAGGTATATGACCCGACTGATGTCGTAGGATCACTCGACAGTTGGTATATTTTTAGATACCAATGACACAGGAACTATGGTTTTCTTGCAAAACCATTTTATGGTGCCGCTTGTAAGTTTGTAAATCAAGCTTGGATTCCCTTATCCCAAAACATTTGTTCACAAGGAGGGTATGTTGGGTTGGCATAAGCAATCAGAAACATGTTCCTGCTGCCACTTGCTGGTTTGATGAATTGAAGCATGATTATTTTAAGTAACCGACTAGGTTAGTAAATGCTTTCTCTTGGCTGCTACCATTTGTGATGTAACTGGGGCTCTGAAAGACTTGTTCATGTAAACAGATTTCTCAGAGTAAAACAATTCAGACTGGCTTGATAGTTTCCAGTGACTCCCAGTCACCTTAAAATGATCCTGCAGGGACTCCATATCCTGTGTGTGTGTTCTGCTCTTAAAAGAGCTCCTGACTGCCCAGTAGTCTTGTGACAGTGCAGTTGGATCATATAATGTACCTTTGGGATAGACACTATCTTTTAAAAAAAAGAGCTTTTCACAAGCTCGGGGTGTATTTTTTATAGACTGGGTAATCACATTGTAATGTTATACTTGAGTCCCCCACACTTGTCAACTCAACACATGTCCAAGTCATTGAATTCTTGTAAATTTAATGTGCATTGCCTCACCTTATTGAACCATAAGTTATTTAACCATTTCTTATTGTGTGTTTTTTATTGCCTCATGAGTTTTGGTACTCATTCAATTCTGGTGAATTCACAGTACATAATTGATAATTACTGTAGATATGTATACAATACTGAAAGAACCTATTTGCATTTTGTACTGTATAAAAAAATTATATCTAGGTTATAAAAGTCTGAGAATAGATCTTTTGGCAAGTTAATAATACTTGATTTAATATACAGATGCTGGATTCCAGTTTGAGCAAAAAGGCTATTCTGGGTTTAACATCAACACGTGAGTGGAAGCACTCATTCAAACATCTCTCTGTAATCAAGAAGATGGCCAACATCTGTAATGCAACATACAGTGCCATTATTGCTGCTGCCTTCAGAAATAATGACTATGACACTGGGTATCAGTACTTAGAGGCTATGTGGAGTGATGAGAAGGTTAGTTTTATTTTAATTTTGTATATATATAATGGCTGGACTTTTTTACTTTATATATGCTAATGGTGAAACAGTTGAACTGGTCTGGTATGATTCCCATTGTCATGAACAGGAAGCCTGTTAAGCTCGTTGAAGTCCCCCAAGCCAATGATTGGCCATTACCCAAGATGCAACCCAAAGCAGTTGACTAATACCCAGGTATAAAAAACTTGGAAAGGGCAGAGAGGCTGAGAGAGGAAGGTCAGGGTGGTGAAGGAGGGTTGAGGTCAGGGAGGCAAAGGTGGTATGAGATTATTCTAGGAAACATTGACAAAGATGTAGTCTATAACTACATGTTTTAATAACTCCTGGACCAATAATAATTTTTGTAACATTGCATATCACAGGACATCCTAAGTGCTATTTAGGATATTTTATATATTCTTTGACATAGATGGTGCTAAATAGTCTTCCCAGCATAGTGCCATCTTTCCATAATTACTTATTATGTGTTATATTAAGCCTATTAAGTGTTATACCCCATCGACCAAATATATTATTTGGCAAATTTGTGTTGAACATGTAAATTTTAGGAGTGTTAATATCCAGAATGTTTAGGTCACGACCTGTAAAGGCATTCTTGTTGGGGAGAATAAAGACTGGAATTGTATTTTAAAGTTATCTATTTGAGGATACAAAAAAACAAACAAAAAAGTTCCAAAGGAAGACATTAAAAATAGGATTTGATTTTGTCACTGATGGTTCAGACATGCTTTCACATCTTTGAGGAGACAGAAAGGTTGCACTTGTTTCTCTGTTATGTTCCGTAGTGTGTAAGATACGGTGAATGGGCGAGGGCATTTTTATATCTTGAACTTTGTTCCTTTATAATCCACATCATTTCTTTTCTTCTTCTAGGCAAATGCCTCGCCACTCCCACATACAGTAACAATATCTATGTAAGAATGTGATAAGCTTCTTTTTTTATGGCCAAGACATGCTATTTAAAAGTACACCCTTTCAACCTTGTTGCACAAAATATCTTACCTTTTTGTATTTACTTCAATATATTTTTCAGGTACCAAATGATAAGGTGTTTCTTGAGTTTATTAAACAGTGTGCTGCTGTCGAAAGCACTGAGGAAAAGATAACAATGACACAGACTCTGTTTCACAAGCTTGCTATCTTCGACATCTTTCCTCGCTTGCTTGTTATTCAAGAGATTGACGTATTGTATAGAAAAAGCTTAGGTTGGTTTAGTAACTACGTGGAGATACACAAAAGGTAAGTATTAAGCAGATATATTTCTGCAAAACAAGAATTTTTATTTCTCTGAATTTCATAATTACTAATCTCATAAGAACCCTGTGGATGGGTTCATAACATTATTAAATAAGAATGTTCTGTAAAAATATAAAATATCTTCCTACCGCATAGTGGGTGTCATTATTTTAGTATAATTTAGTTTACAGTACAGTATACAGTATATATATTATACACATACATACACATACACACACACACACACACACACACAGTATAATGTATATATATTATAAATTTATTGATTTATTTCAGGGGAAGATGTCCAGCATGTGGAAGTCAGCTGGAAGGTCTAGCAGTTGATGAAGAGGAATTCAAGCACTTACAGGTACAGTATAATACATGAATTATGAATACCAAGTAATAATTCTGTAAATAAATAGGAATCCGGGGTTTTATGAGAACAAAGTCAAGTTTTCATGAACTGGAAAATGTTGATACAGTTCTGCAACACATTACAAGACAATATCGACTGTATTTACCAGCATCTTTAGATTCTGTAGTAGCAGGCATTCATCAGTCTCAGGAGACTATGGAGTTGTGCTTTGGTTGTCGGTCTGGAGTGACCTCTCCAGGGCGCAAAGCCAAGGTAGGTTCATACGGGGGAGAAGCTGCCACCCATACAGCAGGTCCTCCCCCCTCTCCATGACGCCGAAGGTCTCCAGTGGAAAGGCAAAGACGATATCATATAATGATATCTATAACCATCATATATACTTGCTCATAATGATTGTTAATAGTGAGTTTCATGAATTTTATCTTGCTGAAATACAAATGTTAACCTTAAATTCACTAAATATATTACTGTATGTATTTAAATGGAATTGAGGCAGTTTGCTTCTGCATCAGTGTTTGTTATAGGTCGTTACTGTATATGTATATTCAGAATTGCCTTGTAACTTAATACTGTACTTCTATGCCTTTTTGATACAGGAGGAGTTTGTTCCCCGAGTACTACATAAGTCAGATATTTATCTGTCGAGTAGCCCCAGGGAATGGGCAGATTTCCGTGATTTTGTAGAGGAGCACGAACCTTTCTCAACCGTAGTGGATGGCCTGAATGTGGCATACGTATGTGGCTTTGATAAATCACCTAGTATCCGGGTTAAAGTGGTGAGTAACAGAAGAATTTAGAAACGCTCCCACTTTAGGTCTGTTAATAATAAGTAATAAGTATTAAATGTAAGAACTTTAGAGGCATTTGTATTTTATACAGTGAGTAAAGTGTGTGTGTGTCAGAATTTTTATTGGAAAAGTACAGAAAATGAGAAATTATCATTTGACGAATAAGAGGAAGTTTTGTAGTGGAATGCTTCCAATTACACGGAGGGTTTCTATAGGCCATTGCTTCCCTTGCCTCTCTAGAGGGGGCCAGGTTCTGGCTCGTGGCCCCGGTAGGCCCATAAGAACTCCATACACATGACTGATGCCAAAGTCTGACATTAGCATATCAGCCTAGTAAGCTCCGGGGTGCCTCCGGTACTCACCCAGAAAATGGCGTTTCATTACATTCAACGCTGGTTTTTTGTACCAGAATATGGTACCAAAGAAATTAATTTATTAGTACAGCACTGCACACTAAAATCTGTATAATAAACAATTTTACTGTCTTAATATATTGTGTAATAGTGAATATATGAAAGTAAGATTCGTAACATTATCATCTTCATAAAAGATTCTCTTGCAGCTTAGAAATGTGGTAGATGAAGTTCTAAGACAAAATCCTCACGGCCGTATATTGGTTATTGGACGAGAACACATGAAGAGATGGTCGCGTGAAGGTATATTTATGAACAAGAAAGGTGTGAGTTTTTATACCCTCAACAATATGTGAGTTTAAGTACATTTCTTTATTTTATTGAGTAAGTTTTTCCCTGGAGAAATGCTACATTTCTCTACAGTCCTCTCAGTGCCTCCCTAGAGCTTATGTCACTACTATAAAGCCCACCCTCAAATGTTAGGTTCTCAAGACACTTTTTTTTTCTTGCCAGGAGCCAAGACCATATTTACTTTTGTACTCTCAAAGTGGTAAAGGGAGCACATGGGGTAAAAGATCAACCCATAACCAAGGTGAATTCCTCAGAAAGTTGAACATCAAAATAAAACCATTAACATCTCTATGAAGAAAGAATGAAAAGGCCAAACAACACATTTAATAGTTGTAACATGCAAACTACTACTGACACAACTTGCCTAGTCAGACCGAAGACATCGATATCTCGATAAGACATCTCTGGGGGACATGTCACAGCCATGTCCCCCAGAGACCCTACCTCACGGTGCTCCTGCTGGAAATCGGACAGTGTTACCTGATAAGTGGCTTTGCTTTCTTAAGAGATTGTGTTTAGTGCAAGAGCCTGCTCTATGTTTCACGAGTGTGTTTTCCAGCCAACCTGTATGTCCATTGTTGCTTAGCTTTGCATCAGATCATGTCTTAGGGTTCTCGTCCCTGGTTGGCCCTGGAGATGAACTTTGTTAACTATAGGCCACAATGGCCTCCAACCTGGACAACATGGTAAGTAGCATCTGGACTAGGGAGTAGAAAAAAGAAATCTCATCCGTTCCAATCCAAATAAAACGGCCAGCAAAGGCCTCGTAATGGGACCACATACTGGTACTGTACTGGCAACTGGCGATTCTTTGCAGCAGTAAAGACCTGCAGATGCTGAACACCTTGCATGTCCAATGAAAGGAGGCTCCATTCACTTCCTGCTATTTTGAAAGTGGGAGAGGCCATCCCCAGACACATTCAGTATATTCTGAATGTTAATGGCACCGAGGACTGAACCTTGAGAAACTGCATGAGGCATGCAGACTATCCTTAGTCTATCTTCACAGGGAATGAGGCTGTGTTCAGGTAATGGACCACTAGGAATGGAATCAGAATGAAACAGGGCAGCTGAGACCCATAAGACAGGGATGTATTAAAGTGCCATCTCATTCTTTCTGGGAGGGTTCCTCCTCGTAGCTCAGCCTGTCTTCCTAAGGTTTTCCAATGTCAAGAAAATGGTAAAATTAAAGTGTCCTTTCCTAACCTATCAGAGATCCAAAACAGAAAATGGGACAGTACGTCACTTTCGCGAGCCGCTTCCATTTTCAAGTACAATACGAAAATTTTTGGCCTTATGTGACACATACGATCGAAATGTGACATTCTTTGTAAGAGGACAGATTGCATAGCTACCCCGAGTTTAAGCATTGATATTGTCAAGCCTTACGTTCTCACCAGGCACAAAGACCTACGAAAAGAAAGAACCAGAATTTGGAATCTTCGAGTTGAGGAGAGCTCTGGTAACAGAGTAACTCAACACTAAAAAAAAAAAAAAAAAAAAAAATAGATACAACAAACCAAACTAATGGTGGTTTGGATAGACAGTATTCAATGATGTGTTATTCAAATTACTCCCTCATATTCAGACTAATTTGTACAGTCCCATAATCATCAATTGCGAAAACACTATCCCGGTGGTGGCCAGGTCCTATTTCAAGGTAGGGCCTAGTTCGTGACAGTGAGCTGAGACATGAGAGAGATAACGTAGGTCTATAATTGCTGGGAAGACCACATGGAAGCATGCGTGAGCTTGCACTCGGGGGAAGGGTGAGGGGGTGACCCGAATATTTTTCTTTTTAACATTAAAATAATGTTTCAGCCAGGTCCTTAATTAACAGTATGCCTGAGAGGAAATGTGTAGTTACCGATTATGAAGAAATAAGAGATAATAAAAAAAAATGTGGGTAGCTTTTTTAAGGCATTTATTCCAAGTACAGCATAACAAGCACTACTTTGATATTTTGGAGAATGTAGGAAAGATTGTAGTTACAGTACATTTATATATCCTTGAAGCTTTGGTGCTTTTGAAATCTAAAGCTACTGCTAAAATCTCTTACATGAGATGATTATCTGGATTTTGCCGGCAGTGAAATCCTATCCAATCTCAGGAATTTCAAATCCTATTTAATCTCGAGAATAATATATGTTTTTTGTAAGCAATCTGCCAACAGAAAAGATAACCTCATGTTCAACATATACAATTCATTGCTCCCATGAAGTACAAAAACTCTTTACTATTGTTGATTATATTGCATACTTATGTGTTATAGCCTCTCATGGATTCCAAGATGTCTGCAATAACAGTGGTTAATTTTGTCCCACTTCCACACAGGGGCTCTTTAGCCATGTATTGCATACACGCACACAAATTCATCATCTTGACTGTATATTAGTCATCTAATGTATTCAGTTCTGCTTGACTTGTACAAATCAGCATTAACTTAAAATAATTTCTATGCCAGGTCAAGAGATGATGGATTCTTCATATATGCAGCTCTCCAGTCAGGATTTGGAACTAATTTCATAACCAAGTATGTTATTTGACCTTGTTACCCATTCTGTTTTTCTCACTGATGACCAAGGGCCTGCTCCCTGCACCCACCCCATGAAAGTGAGAGAAGTGGGATAGTATGATGAGATAAAAAATTTATTCAGTAATGTTACCATGCAAAGCCCCTGTCAAATTTGTGTTCTGTATATTAATTTCAGTAAAGCACTTTGATAAACATATACTTGAACAAAAATCATTTTAAGATGTTTGTTATACAATATTTTTTTTTTTTAATTTATATACTATACTGTATTTCTATGAAGTACACTCACCAAATCATTTATTCAGCGATCTGCTACGAGACCATCTGTTCCGTCTTGGACAGGTATCACTAAGAGATACCTTCCGCCGTTGGCAGAGAATGCACCAAATAAAGATCGTTTCATTACGTACTGGTGTGCGTCTTTTGGTATGTATTGACTGTCATTGTTTTCTGTCTGGTCTATGTATAATAATGGTCAGTGGCAGTGATACCAAGTTAATAGGAAGCATCATGTAGCTAACTGTGCTTTGTAAAATCATTTGAACTTTCATAAATTATTTGAACTAAATTGTAGCATAATACCAAGACAACTGGGCCAAAGAGTTCCCAACTGGAAGTCATCAGACTTTCACATCTCCCAGTTCACCTAAACTGTGTTAGAAGCCCATTCATTGGCAAAATTCCTTGTCACAGCAGGACTTAAAACTGATCAATCTTTCAGATTGATAATGAACTGGGTATACACATGGCCCTGATTATGGAAGCAACTTAGTAATTACTCAGAAAGGAAAATTTCATTCCACTCAACCAACTGTTTATATTATTTAGATAATTATGTTTTTAGTATAAGCAATCAAATGATGTTTCTGCAAATAATATTTTTTATAGCAAAATTACTTTGGCAAAAATGTGAATACTGTTTTTATCTTGTTATTGAATTAAAAAACTGTCACTATATTCCACTCCTGTGAAAACACAGTCCACTCTACTAGAATATTATTTTCTGTTGCAATTGCTTTTCAACCTGTTTTTGTGACATCAGAATCCTTTCATTGGACCGAGTTCCATGAGAGCTCATTTCGAATGAGCAGTACAATATTTATTCAAAGCAAAATGATCAACATTGAAAATACTTTAGATTTTAACATACTCTCTTGACACTTAATTTATAATTTCTGACTCAAAGCTCCACAATAGCTTTTCTGGGCATCTTCCTCAGTAGCTCCCATAGGTCTTGCCAGGCATCTATGAGACTCGCTGCCTACTGGAGACATAGGCCATCGCACACTTCCCTTGTTCCTTCTACAAAACAGGAAGATCAATCCAATATTAAGAAAATTGAGGAGTTGAGCCCAGAAATGGACATTGCATTACACAATGTTTTCTTAATGTTATATATTATTTTTAATTTTATCCAAAATGGTGAGTTTGTGTTTCTTTTATTCATCAGGCTCCTCCAAGTTTTAGCACCACTGCACAGTGTGGAGTAAATGGTGGGTGGCACATCCCCTATGATGACGGGAAACCTCGTGAGTCATATCAGCTGCCCCAGACCTGGCTCTGCCTGCAGTCGGCTCCTCCAGGGAAAAAATTAAAGTCTTCTCAACTTGATAAAGTATATGATAATAAGGTTAGACACAGTGACTGGAAAATAAATATTGATAAATATAAAAATACGAACCAACCAAAAGCTAAAAAAACTTTAATGAAGGATATGAGGCTTGAACACTTGAAAAGAGCTCTGTCTAGACAAACAGAGATTGGAATTGTAAACGAGAGAACCAAGCCTTATCCAGCAAGAAAAACTACTGGAAAGAAGAGAATAACAGATTTTCAATCGTCTACAATCAGAAACGTATTTAATGATGACGACGATAAGTAGAAAGTCAAATTCCAGATTAGTCCAACAAATGAGTTATCTTACCGTTTTCATCTTTTTCCCCGTCTTTGGTTTTTTATACCAAAAAAATGATATTTGGTACACACAGAAATCACAGTAGCGTGATATATCTAATGAACAAATCCACAAGGGCCGACCCTTGTGAGGGCAAATAGCACTCCAGGTTGCAATTCTTGTACTATGTCGTGGAGCAATCGACTAAGGCATGTCTGGGATCAGAACAACCGTGGGCATCTTCAAGAGAAAACTAGACTTCTAAAAAAAACGTGCCAGACCAACTGGGGTGTGGTAGGTATGTGGGCCTGCGGGCCGCTCCAAGTAACAGCCTTGCGGACCAAACTCTCACAAGTCAAGCCTGGCCTCAGGCCGGGCTTGGGAAGTAGAACAACTCCCAGAACCCCATCAACCAGGTATCCTGGATGTAGATTTGAACCCTCATCACTGTCCTTGTGGATTTGTATATATTTGATATTTGTGAGCTTTGTACTGTGTATGTTTGCATATCATTACAATATACAGTACATTTTATAAAAATGATTTTTATTATTCTGTAGTATTGTTTATTACTTCTTGACTAAAGACAAATTATTCAATAACAGCCATTGCTACAACGGCATCAATTGTCAGCCACTTTAACTACTTTCCTGTTTGCAAATTTATTAAAAAATTATTTAATACGGTAATGCTTTGAAGAAACCTGTGCTATGAATTTAAATTGCACAACAATTTAGTTTAAAGATACTGTATAATAAATACACAGATATTAATGAAAATGTTGTAGTCAAATGGCTGATTTTTGCTTCACATGCAGAGTTGTCGGCCACCTCGGTGCTGGTGGTTGACCCAGTTTCTTTTATCATTTTTAAAGCAATTTTACCAGCATACACCTGTATATTACCTGTAGAATATCCACCTTCCTTTTAACACAGTAGCACAGCATTTATGTAATCAAATACTTTGTACTGACAGGTTCCCAATTCAAATGACAGACCACTAATTTTGGTCCTCAGACGATCACTGAAATGGGCAATACTTTTCTTAATCTTTTGTCTAAAATTTCTACATGTACCTGAATACATAAAAAGAACAAATATAGCCTTCATAATACTACACACTATCAAAGCATGGCCCAATTTGCTGCTAATGTTTGCAGGATATAATTGTGCATGCTAACAGTGTATGGTAAATTACAATACTCTACTGTACTGTACAGTACTTGCATTCTCAGTCATCAGACTAATAAGGGATTTTTCCAAAGTGAAAACTTGATCAGTCTCCAACAACAAAAACACTGCTGAGGTAGAACTCCAGCAAAAGTATGAAATAAAGAGCTCATGTCAGCGAAAAAATAAAATTAATGTATTGTGAAGTGACAGTACACTTCTATGGATAATAACCAGTGAAGATAATTGACACCAATTCCACACCTAAGAAATGAAGAGCTGATAATGTCAGTTATTCGTTTTCAGATACACGCACGCACACCTGTGTTACAAATATACTTAGTTTTTATGATAGTGCCACAGAGATTCAACAAGAAAGAGATGGTTGGGTTAACTGTTTATCTGGACCTAAAAATGGGTTGACTGTTTATCTGGACCTAAAAATGGGTTGACTGTTTATCTGGACCTAAAAATGGGTTGACTGTTTATCTGGACCTAAAAAAGGCTATTAACAGAGTCTCCACACAAGCTCTTGTTTTGGAAACTGGAACTTGCTGGAGGGGTGACAGGGAGACTTATGACATGGATGAAAAATTTGACAAAGATAAGGGCAGTAATTAGAAGCAATGTATCTGACTGGAGGAGTGTTACTAGCAGAGTACCAAAGGGTTCAGTTCTTGCATCAGTAATGTTCGTCATCTACATAAACAATCTACTAGAAGGAATACAGAATTATATGAACATGTTTGCTGATGATGCAAAGATACTGGGGGAGATAAAGACGAAGACAATTGTCATGCCCTTCAAATTTATCTAGATAAAATAAGGGCTTGGATTGCCATGTGGCAAATGGAATTCAATGAATAAATACCATGTTATGCAATGTGGAATCAGAAATTAGACCACACAACTTACAAGTCATGTGGAAAGGACTCATGGAATTCTAACAAAGAGAGAGAGATCTAAGAGTGGTTTTGGATAGTAGACTGTCGCCAGAGAAAAACATGCACAGCATTGTTTTAGGAGCATATGCATTGCTTTCCAACTTCAGAATTCCCATTAAATACATGGATGGTGAAATACTACAGAACCTGTTCGACTTTTTGTGAGACCAAAATTGGAATATGCAGTTGTATGGTGCCCATATCTTAAAAAGTGCATCTATAAACTCGAAAAGGTGCAAAGGCATGCTACAAAATGACTTCCAGAACTGAAAAAAAAGATTTATGAGGAGTAGCTAGAGGCATTAAATATGCCAAAGTTAGAAAAAATAGAAGAAAAAGAGGTGATATGATCACCACTTACAAAATAATAACAGGAATCGACCAAATTGACAAAGAGGAATTGCTGAAATCAGCCACTTCAATAACAAGAGGTCACAGGTTCAAGCTAAGGAAACAAAGGTGCCAAATTTGTTTAGAAAGTTTTCTTTTGCAAACAGAGTGGTAGACGGAACAAGTTAAGAGAGAAGGTGGTGGCGGCCAAAACCATCAGTAAAGCAGTTTCAAAGCGTCCTCAGACCAAGTCCATTCTATCTCGCAGTCGACCCCAAAGACACATTCATAAATTCTAACATGCTGTTCATTCAAAACGGGAATTTTTTTTTAATATAAATTTATATTATTTTACATTACTATATTGTACATATTTAGGCACTGGTTAAGTTAGGTTAGGTGTTTAGGTTCTGTTGGCGATTATTTGTATTTGTAGTACGCGGGTGAAGCATTTACAGTGTTGGAGTTCGAACAAAATTCGTCAGTGAAGCACTTGGTCCAGAAGTGTTCGAACGTCATCAGTTGTGAGTCGTGTGGAAACCGTCTTTTATTCATAAACAAGGGCTGTGGCAGGTGCATGAAATGTACTTTGGGTCTCCTCTTAGAGGAATTGCTGCCCTCCCTCCCTCGCACACATACAAAGATCACAGCTCATTAATCCAGCTGCCAAACCCCCAGTTTATGAATAAAAAGCGGATTACACACGATTCACAACTGATGACATCCGAACACTTCGACAAGTGTTTTGCTCACGTCCTCTGTTCGAACCACAATTCTATAAATGCTTCACCCACATACTTCAAATACAAATAATCTCCAACAGAACCTAAACACCTAACCTAACCTACACTTTACTATACATGGAATTTGTATGTATAATAATATTAATTTATATACAAGAACAAACCAAATTTTAACACACAGTACTGTATGTTAAAATTGATGAATCCGTTTGGGAAGCACGGCCGTTACTTTAAACAGCCTAGTGGGAGGACAAGTTGCTCGCTCGCTCACTCACTCACTCACTCACTCACTCACTCACTCACTCACTCACTCACTCACTCACTCACTCACTCACTCACTCACTCACTCACTCACTCACTCACTCACACACTCACACACTCTCACACTCACACTCTCACACACTCTCTCTCTCTCTCTCTCTCTCTCTCTCTCTCTCTCTCTCTCTCTCTCTCACTCTCTCACTCACACTCTCTCACACTCTCTCTCTCTCTCTCTCTCTCTCTCTCTCTCTCTCTCTCTCTCTCTCTCTCTCTCTCTCTCTCTCTCTCTCTCTCACACACTCTCACTCTCTCACTCACTCTCTCACTCTCTCACTCTTTCTCTTTCACTCTCACACTCACTCTCTCACTCTCACTCTCTCACACTCTCACACACTCTCACTCTCTCACTCACTCTCTCACTCTCTCACTCACTCTCTCACTCTCTCACTCTCTCACTCTCTCACTCTCTCACTCTCTCTCTCACTCTCTTACTCTCTCTCTCTCTCACTCTCACACACGCAAACACACAACACACTCACTCGTACTTCTACAACTCCTGCTGGTTGTCCCTAGAAGAATGGTAAGCAGTTCATGTGGCACTACACGTGCTTATCGACCTTGGCTGACAGCTACATTGACTTCATTGTTGTGCATGCAAGCGATGCTGCCACCCACATGGAATCAGCCAAGTTGCCTAGGTACTCTAAACTCAATCATCACTATAGTTTTATCTCCATTGCTCCAGCCACCCTTAATTGGTGCCTGGGGTAAAAGTGCCATGAGGTTCCTCAAGAATCTGGATTTCTTGGCTCGTCGAGACAACAAGAGCTTCCAACTATCTGTTCCAGCCCCTCAGTACTCACCTATTTGTGCTTGCGGGGGTTGAGCTTTGGCTCTTTGGTCCCGCCTCTCAACTGTCAATCAACTAGTGTACAGATCCCCTGAGCCTTCTGGGCTCTATCATATTTGAAACTGTGTATGGAGTCAGCCTCCACCACATCACTGCCTAATGCATTCCATCTGGTATTTACTCTGACACTGAAAATGTTCTTGCTAATGTCTCAACTACTAGGGCTGAACGGTAGAGCGACGGCCTCGCTTCATGCAGGTCGGTGTTCAATCCCTGACTGTCCAAGTGGTTGGGCACCAGTCTTTTTCCCCCCCCCCCTTCCCCCCGTTCCATCCCAAATCCCTATCTCGATCCCCTACTCCCCTACTAAGTGCTATATAGTTGTAATGGTTTGGCGTTTTCCTCTGATAATTCCCCTCCCCTCCCTGTGGCTCATTTGGGTACTAAGTATTCTTTATTTTCTTCTCCGAGGCTATGGGTCCCTACACTTGCACCAGAGGTGGTACCCCTCTTAGGTTTAAATATATAAATATATAATATGTGACGATAGAAATTATCCACGTGGCAAATTCTAGGGGAAATTTTATTAATTTTTTTTCAGGAACGAATAAATTTTACTAGGGAAATTATATCCTGTGGTAAAACCCAGACGTTGACAATGACATGATGGCCGTCAAGTTCAAGTATGTTTATTGAGACAAGAAAGAAATACATATCAAAGGGATAGAGTAGCTTAGGCTATTTCTACCCCCCCCCCCCCTCCCTCCTGATGGCCGTCAACTTTGACTGGTGCGCGGGACGCCACCAGGAGGCTGACGTCAGAGATGACTGCCCCATGAATGGCCTGCGGGTGCGTCGCCTGATCACTGACGTCACGGATACCTGTCCATTGATTGGCTAATTGATGTATCGTCTGATCGGTGACATCATAGATATGATTTCCATTAGTGCTTTGGTGCATCGCCTGCCAAGTGATAAGTGACGTCATGGATATCTAACCAATGAGTGGCTTGGTGCATCACCTGGGAAGTGACGTCATGGATATCTAACCAATGAGTGCATTGGTGCATCCCCGGATTAGTGACGTCATGGATATCTAACCAATGAGTGGATTGGTGCATCGCTCCAATGAATGACGTCCTTAGTGGAGTGGATTGGTGCATCCCCGGATTAGTGACGTCATGGATATCTAACCCATAAACAGCTTAATGAAACGTCTGATCAATGACGTAATGGATATCTA